ATCCTCATCTGACAACGCCTTGGAATGGAGCCGATGAGCAGCTGCGAAGGATTCAACTCGGGTGATGTAAACCAGCGGTCCCGTCTCCAGGTTGATGGCGTTGCTGCCGGTCATTTCCGAACCGATGTACTTTGTAGATCACACTGCCTTGAAGATACTAAGATGCAATTGCCTCGGTCGACCTTGCTTCAAGGGCGTTTGCTCGTATTTCCGGCCCAAGTTGTAGAGCTTGCAGCCAAGTACCGGTATGCTGCGGTTAGCAGATAACCTTTAAAGGAAATTATGAAAGGGAGCTGTGGGGCCGCAGAAGATAAACTGTAGGTGTTGCGAGGTTTATCACAACTGTCAGCAGGTTTTAGTTGAAATACAAGGGGTATGCGATGCTTAAACATGATGGTCAGGCTGTCATGTCTTCTCCTACTTACTCGTGAGAACCGTTATTTGCCGTTGCATTGCAGTACATTAGAATGATCTGCCTGTAGCCTTGCAGACGCATAAAAGCTTCGCCCAGACAGCTTATGAAGTCACTGTCGGCATCTATTTATGCTCATTGTTTGGGCCAGCTTCATCATACAACCCTTGCTTGTCCACGGTCTTGGAAAAGGTAAGCCAAAGTGGCCTGCCTGCTCCCAGTTGCCAAATTCATCTTTTTTGCCCGAAGTATACAATATTTACGCCTGAAGGGTACCGCTCACCAGCTTTAAAAGGTAGCGGCCTCCCGCATGCATACGCGACAGCTAGCAGCAGTTGCTTGATTGCTTGCTGCCGAAACAGTAGCCGTGTAAGCGTCCTGGCATAAATATTCCTTTCATGTAACGTTTCTTGGTTTGCAGGTTCCTGCGACGGAAAAGGAGTCCCATCACAACTTCGCCAGACCGAACATACAAGCGCAAAAGCCCCGTCGAGGCAGTAGTTCGAGTATACGGAGTCAGGAGGCAGACGGGATACCTAATTCGAGGAGGTCAAGGGACAATGGCTAACATAGGGCGTATGGAGGAAGCGGTGCGGACCATTCTCCAAGGACTTGGGGAAGACATCGAGCGAGAGGGGTTGATCGACACACCCAAGGTGAGCGGCAGTGCTGCTTGTTGAACACGATATGCAGCATATACCATAGCGCTTATGCCGAGGTCTCCGGCTTTCCTCGCCGATGGCCATTTGACATCGTAAAATGATTGACAGCGCAAAATGGGTTGAAGGCCCCAAGCCGCTGTCCTCAACGGCCTAAACCCTATCACAGCTTTCCGGCACGTAAGAAGGCAGCTTCAGTACGGCTTGAACGTTTACTTGCACAAAGGTGTATCTCCTCTCACCTTGATTGTTGACGCCACCTCTTCCTCCATCACAGCGTGTGGCCAAGGCCCTACTTGACTGCACGTCGGGCTACCACCTAACTACCTCCAGGTAAGGAGTTATGGGTATGAAGGATTTCATACCTGACATTGGAGATTTCGCCACGGGGTTGAAACCATTACTACATTCGTCTCCTTACTGCACCGCGCCTCCCCTTCTCCAACAGCACCCTCGGCACCGCTCTTTTCCACGAACCCATCGTGCACCGCGGCAACGAGGGCATTGTCATCGTCCGCGACATCAACTTCGCGTCAACCAACGAGAACAACTTGATGCCCTTCCATGGTACCTGCCACGTGGCGTACAAGCCCAAGGACGGTGTCGTACTGGGCCTCAGCAAACTCGCGCGTCTGGTCAAGCAATTTGGCAAGCGGCTGCAGACCCAGGAACGTCTCGCGGCAGAGGTAAGCGCGCAGCTATGTTGCAGGTGCATTTCCTACATGCACACTATTGTGCCTCAGTTGTCACGACACTTGCTCCGGGTTCTACTTGCAACATAGTGTGATGTGCATGTTGCTAATTTGCTTGGTTGAGTAAACGAGCAGAAACTCATGCTGCCGTTGCTCCACTTCCCTTTCCGCCTCCGTCTAGGTAGCCCTGGCGCTGCAGACCAGCTTGGAGTGCCCTGGCGTTGCTGTGGTGATCCAGGCTCGGCACCTCGGGCCCCAGCTGCCGGAGGACGGCACCCCCGTCGACAAGACCTTCGAAGCACAGGTTCAACACCCGCCGGAGCGCATCGTGGCGTGTGTGTCTGGGATCTTCGAGGGCCAAGGTTCCCCGTACCTGCAGGTGAGAAGTCGAGGTAGCCAGCACAACTCTATTCCCGTATCATACCCTATTCAGATGTGGCATGGAACCAAGTGGTTAGGATGTACGGTGTTGCGGATGGGTCCTATGCAGCTCTTGTTATTTCCAAGCACCCCTCCTATTGTGCAGGAGTTGGCGGCCCTGTTGGGCCTTGAAGAGGAGTTGCTGACGGAGACCTCGTACATCTCGGCCGTACGACTGCTAGACCAGCTGCTGGCACAAGTCAGGCTCGCCGACTCCGCTGCCGTTGCGCGTCGCCTATGCCAGGTGCCCGCCGCAGCAAGTGCCCGGCCCTCCGCCTCCGGACAACCGGATACGCCGTGCAGCACTTCAAATCTCTCCTTCCAATCTTTAAGTGATACGTCCCTTGCTTCCTCCCGGAACAATTCTGAGGGCGGCGCAAGTGGAGCTCAAGACACCGCCGACGCCACTTATGAGAAGCAGGAGGCGGTCGATAAGCCGCTGCCGCTGCACAACCGTGCGATCAGTACGGCTGCGATGGAGGCGGCTGTGCGGCAGCTGCTACTCGAGGTTGGCGAGGACCCGCAGCGCCCCGGCCTCGTCCACACGGCTCGGAACTACGTGTCTTCACTCCTGTCGTCCACGTCCGGATACGGCCAAGACCTGCCCAAGCTGGCCCCTGCAGGGTCCTCCGCGACCTCCACCGTTGCCGCCGCCCCTTCCTCCGCCGGCGCCGCCGGTCGCACGGAGGACGTGGTGGCGCTGAACGTGCCCTTTGGCTCCCAGTGCGAACACCACATGCTGCCTTTCTACGGCCGCGCCATGGTGGCCTACCTGCCCCCCGCTGGGCCCGGTGTCGCGCGTGTGCTGCTGTCTACCGCTGACGTGGAGCGGGTTGTGGCGGTGTTTACTCGGCGGCTGCAGGTGCAGGAGCGCATCACACACCAGGTGGCTGACGCGGTGGCGGGGCTGCTGCTGCAGGCCGCTGCCGGGGAGGAGGGCGGCAGCGCTGCGGGTGATGTGATGGTGGTGTGCGATGCGGCGCACATGTGCATGGTGGCCCGCGGCGTGGAGAACCACTGCGGCAGCACCACCTCATGGGCCGTCCGTGGGGCCTTTGCCAGGTCGCTGGAGCTGCGTGCGAAGGTGCTGCGCATGTTCCGTGGTGCCGCCTAGAGCTTTTAGGATTGCCAACTCGTGATTATACCTCTACCGTAGTATGAAGGATTCGGGAGTGAGTAAACATGTTAACGGCTTGTCCATTAATGGGGCAGCGTCTGATGAGGCAGGTGGTATGGCTTGGAGCATGCGCTAAGATTGCGATAGCCAGTGCTGCATGCTATTGTGATTGACAGGCACCCATACATATGTTTGGCAAGTTCGGCTGGGATGCGCTGAAACTGTGCTTGGTGAAACTCTTTGTCTTTCTGCCTCCGTCGTGTATTGCGAGGAGGTACTTAGAACCTAGGTATGGCTTCCATGCGCCTGGGCGATGGTATTATATGGACGCATGGTAAACGCAACTTCTTAAAAAAGTGGTATTAATGTATACGAAGTATACTTCCATATCTATTGTCCTTTGCTTTCTTCTAAATCTAGTGATCCCTCTAATTAGTCATGCGCAGTGACCCATGGGCCATTTTTTTTACCCTCTTAGGATACCTTCTTAGCACAGATGTCTTTTTAGAATGTTCGGTAGGGCAACACTTGTCGCGGCAGTTACATTGTCATGGCTGGCAGAGGTGTAAACAAGTCGTATACGGTGTGTCGTACCGCCAATAGCGCGTTCGTGAGATGGCGTATAATGGCAATCGTAACGCCGCCCGAACTAAGCAGAACGGGTTCTGCATAACGGACCAAGAAGGTGAACATGTGGCATGTTCTCTTGCTTGACATGGTATTAAAGCTGGTGCAAGACTGCTGGTTCATTGCTAGCTTGTAACAGCTACGTTACACACCTCTGTCTGCGCTGGAGAGTAAGGTGAGCCGCATTCCCAGGTGCAGAAAGGAAATGTCCCAACCAGGCTTACTGCATCATGCAGACACACCAATGCAGCAAGCAGCATGGTACGACAAACCACGTTCAGTTCAGGACCATTGCCTGCAACAAGACACATGTGTGCAATGAACATACTAGTACTAGCATAGGCCAGAGTGTTAACACGGCCGCCATGAGTGAGCAAAGGACAGGCCATGGGGGCGACTAGGGAATCTCAAGGTACTCTACAGCACAAGCTATACTCCTTTTGCAATCTGCACCTACGGTGTTGCAGACGGGCTACAACGTTCCAAGCCTTCAGATGGGCCTACCTACGTGAATGGTCTAAGGGTACGTAGGTAACCAGCAACCTAAGAGAAATAAAGAATAAAGAAAAAGCACTTTTGCGTACTTCCGCCTTATTAGGGAACGGGGAGGCTTACGTGCGTCCCCAACGTGCATAGGGAAACACAAGTGTACTACCTCCTGTCGTTCTGCCCTGCTCCCTTGCCACCGTACTCTCTCCATACCCTAGACAGGCATTTCTCAACCATTGTTGACGCCTCATTCTGGTTCCTTCGTTCCACAGAAACCGCACCCGGCTTCACGCCGCTGCCACCATGCCCGCAAACACCCCCCCGGCCGCGCGGGCCAGCTCCCCGGGCGCCCCAAACTCCGCCATGCGCCCGCCCGCCAGCACCACCACCGCGTCGCACTCCATCACCGTGTCCAGCCGGTGCGCCACCACCAGCAGCACGCGGCCGCCGGGGTCGCCGGAGCCCTGCCGCCAGCCACCACCACCACGATGACGCCCACCACCATTGCTGCTGGCGCCGTCGCAAACACCAGCAGTGCCGGCGCCACCCCGAACAAACCGCCGCAGCGCCGACTGAATGATGGCGTCCGTGGCTCGGTCCACGTTGGCGGTGGCCTCGTCCAGCGCCAGCACGCGAGCGTCCGCCAGCAGTGCGCGAGCCAGGCAGAACAGCTGCCGCTGACCCGCACTCAGGTTGTCACCGCACTCCGCAAGGCGCGCATCCAGACCGCCTGCACGGCGCATGCATGACAACACATGCCGCTAAGGACCGTGCAGGAGCAAGGGGCTATGGACGCGTTTTGCAGACGTGCCCTGGGACAGAGCGCAGGAAAGGTGCACGGATACGGCTCTCAATTAAACGGAATGAGGGGCTCAACAGCCATTACACTCTGCCACCTCGGACCTACCCGGCGCGGAGGCCACGTGGGTCTTCAGTTGCACCGTCTCCAGCGCCCGCCACAGCTGCTCGTCCGTGTGGGTGCCCCATGGGTCCAGGTTGCGCCGCAATGTGCCGCTGAACAGCACCGGGTCCTGCGGGATGACGGACAGCTGCCGGCGGAGCGCGTCAAGCCCGATGGTAGCCGTGTTCACTCCGTCTAGGAAGATCGTCCCATGGGTCACTGGGATCAGACGAAAGAGCGTGAGCACCAGGCTGCTCTTGCCGGAGCCTGTGCGGCCCACCAGGCCACAGCTGCTGCCTGGCGGCACGGTGAAGCTGATGTCGGAGAGTACGGGCGCCAGACCTACCGGGTGGAGGGAGGTGGGTGCGGAGAGCAACAAGATAAGAAAGGTGATTGAGGGCACACGGATTCAAGAAAGGGACGATCGAAACATGGATTGTAAGGTTACCGTGATTCAAGCAGTACCCCCATACTGTCAACCGGCACCTCAACCCACCTGGCCGGTAAACCGCAGTGACGTGCTCGTAGCGCAGTTCCCCAGAGCGCGGCCATCCGGGGGGAGGTTCCGGAGCGCCGTCCTCCACCCGCGGCGGTTCGGATTCCAGCCGTGTGTATGCGAGCATGCGCTCCACACTCGTCATGTGGTTCTCTACCTCGGCACTCTACGGGAAGGAGTAGGAGTGGGGCTCACGTCACGACAGGAACATAAGCAGCACGTGTTGATTACTGGTAGGACGACGTATGCTCCTCCCTTCGGTAGATAACTGGAAGCCCCAGTACGTTCCTACTCGCGGTCAGTTTTCTTAACACACATCCCGCATTACACACCTGTCGTACGAACCACTGCATGACGGACATGAGCTGCAGCGTCTGCGTCAGCGCCAGCGCCAGCACCTGGCTGGCCACTCGGTCGTGCATGGCCACCGCCAGCAGCGCAGCAGCCAGCAGCACGCAGCCGGACACCGCGTCCATGCGCACACCCACCCACCTGACCGGGAAGGGGTAAAAATTAAGATACTGACGATGTAGCTAACGACCGGGAAGGGGTGGAGGCCGGCAGCACACAGAGGGGGGGGGGTAAAAAATAAGGAGACCCCAGCCATGGACACCTGAACACAACTCTGGCGCTGACACAGCCATGAAATTTGCAACAAGCAAAAGGGAGAAGCGTTCTTGGCTGTTGCCGGTACCAGCCGCTTGGAACATGGGCACCCTTGGAATTGTGATCCCATGCGCCACATGCGCAGTGCTGTGTGACCCTACCCTTGCGAGATGCAGATGAAGGCAAAGTACCAGGCCCCGTTGGCATCCAGCTTGTCCAGGAACATGTCGAAGAAGCGCCGCTGCTGCGCCGCACCGTAGGCGCGAATGGTGGGTAGGCCCTGTGGTGAGAAAGCAGTGGCGTTGAGCAGGTAAGAACAAAGACAGCCCGAAAACCAGTCAGCCGGCGTCCGTCTTGAGGATACCGGGGAGCCGTCACGTTCCTCCAACCACATTCACGCAGCATGCGGGGGCCCTGTGTGCGTACTCCCCAGACTACAGAAGCTCCCCACCTTGATTATGGCTGAGAAGGCGGCGTACACGGGTGACCGCGTGACGGCCTCCCAGCGCTTCACCTCGCGACTCGCCGCAATGTAGCGGTTCCTGGGGGGACCGGAAAGCACACAAGAACGAGGAGCATGGGGTCTTAGGACGTCACTCACAGCGCGACGTGATGTCTGCTTAGGACAGGCATCATCAGGGTACCTCTCTGCCTCCCTCCCCCCCGCCCCCGCCGCCCCCTGCCGCTCACCTAAAGTGCAGGAACGCCAGTGTGAGCGGCAGCAGCACGGGCAGCACCAGCGGCACTGCCATCGCCACCAGCAGCAGCGCCCCCACCACCTGGCAGCCCGCCTGCAGCGCGTCGAACAGGGTGGCGGGCAGCAGGTCGTCCACATGGCCCTGGTCCTTGGAAAACCTGGTTTGGGGGGGGGGGCGGGTGCATGGTTGGCGGGCAACGGTTACAATCTGATATGTAGAAGAAAGATGTTCTAGGGCAGTTAAAGGGGGAGAAGGAGGAGGAGAGCGAAATGGTGTGTTGCGTCACCTGTTGACGATGCGGCCGGTAGGATTGGTGTGGAAGAAGCTCAGCGGCGCGCGCAGCACCCTCAGCGCCATGGCATCATGCAGCGAGGTGGCGGCGGACAGCGTGGCGGCGAAGAAGGCCAGCGAGCGCGCCGCGGACAGCAGCACCACCACCAGCGTCAGCACGCCGTACACGGTGAGCCACCTGCGAGTTCCGTAGTACGACAACGGCAGTGGCGGGGCGGTACCGTGTCGTACATCGTCTGCTGGATACACACACGATGCCTTAGGAGGCCCGTGCAATCTGGCCACGCATCACGCAACCGAGTTGCCACCCGGCCGGATGCCACAATGCGCCGCCAGCGGGTCCAAGCGCTCCAATACGAATGCATGCAGCTACCAGCCCAGTAGCACGCACGTTCTTCCTTCCCATTCAACACACCCCACTCAGCTCCCACACCACCCCTCTTCTCCCCTCCTCAATCCCCCCCCACCCCCCTGGTAAGTACCACATTTTGGTAAGTGCCTTCTGTTCTTTCGGTTAAATTATATCGGGAAGGTGGGATGGACCGGCTACCATGTTTGCACCCCATGGTGAAGCCTTGTCATACAGCTCGTCAGTTGCTTCGTCAGTGTCTCATGATATATATTTTTTACCCCCACCCCACCCACCTGGCTGCTCGCTGCTCCGCCGGGTCCGCCCGCGACCACAGCCCCAGCCAGTAGTCCCCCAGAATGAAGACCGCCTGCCCCGCCAGCATGGCCGCAGCCACCCCCGCCACACTGGACAGCCCCTGGTGCCGGCAGTAGTCGCCGTACACCCGCCAGGACACACTGCCCTCCTCGCGCTCCTCCTCGGCCACCAGGGCTCCTACACGGGGGGAGAGAGCGGGAGGGCAGGCAGGCAGGAGGTGGGGGTGGAGGTGGGGGAGTGCTGCATGAAGGGATGAAGCTCCATCGCCCCATGGCAGGGAAGAAGCAAATGACGCGCCGACCCTAGTGTGCAAGAGGCTGGCTGGTGCCGCCCGTAAGAAAGATAGAAACTTGTTTCTCCGACGCCAAGCCAGTCATTCAGCACACGCACCCGCAGCCCCACCTCACCTGCGGTGTCAGCCTCCCTGCCGCCAGCCTTGCGGCCCGATGGGGAAGACACTCCAGCCTGCTTCCTCCCCCCGCCGGAAACCAAGCCTCCAGCAAGCGCCATTAGCTTTCCCAGCGCACCGCCGCTGCGGCCCACGCTGCTCCGCACCACACCCTCCTCCGAACCCACATCAGCGGCCGCCGGCCCCGAGCCTCTGCCTTGCAGCTCCCCCCGCGGTGGTAAGGACGACGGATGCGGCGCCAGCAGCGGCCGCTTCTCCTCCACCGACTTGCTGCGGTCACGCACGGGCCCCAGCTCAATGGTCGCCTCCGCCTCCCCTCCGTAGCCCTCCCCGCCCGCCGCCTCCTGCTGCTCCCGCCAGTCCCCATCCCGGGCCCCCTCACCTCCTGCCGCAGGCACAAGAGCGTCTTCCTCCAACCCTCCTTGGCCGACTGCCCCTTCGGAAAGACGCTGCTGCTGCTGCTGCTGTAGCGGCTCCCCATGTATGGGTGCTGTCAGGTCGGCAGCGGAGGCGGCCTTCTGCTGCAGCCCCGCCCCAGCCCCTGCCGCTGCCGCTCCTCCGAAGCCCCCCGTGAGCTCCGGCAGCTGCAGCGCCGCCACCTGCCGCCAGGGGCCCAGTGCCGCCAGCCGGCCCCGCCGCAGCACCAGCAACTGGTCGCACCTGGGGGGGGGGCGGGGGAGGGAGGGAGGCGGGTGGCGGCAGGTCCGTGGTGAGAGGGCAAGATTGGGCACCGTAAACAAAGGGAGATTACCGTTATACCGAGGTGGAGAAGGAAGAGGCAGAGGGAGGCCCGGACGCGGTGTGGCGAACTTACAGAGGCAGGTATTGGCGTTGGTGTGTAGCCAGGATGCGTGTTGCGCCGCAGCTTGCCAACAGGCCGTCGGGTCCGATGGCACGCTTGAAGAGCTCCCAGCCGACCCGTGGGTCAACCGCGCTGAGCGGGTCGTCCAGCAGAGCTACCGCTGGGCGGGCGTAGCACACGCGCGCCAGCGACACACGCGCCTTCTGGCCGCCTGCGGTTGGGCAGTTCACACATGCAAGCATGAGCCCACGGACCAAGCATACCCTTCCTGCTGACTGGAACAGCATGAATGCACAAGGCTGTATGATACCCTTCGCAGCTGTTAGAGACACTACTACACATACCGCTATACAGCTTAAACAAATATCGCGTCGGCAACACATGCTCGCTCTTCCACCCCGCCCTCCCTCCGCCCCCACCCACCCGACAGGTTGACTCCCCGCTCCCCCAGCTCCGTGCCGTCCCCCGCCGGCAGCCCCGCCAGGTCCTCCTCCAGGCAGCACGCCTGCAGCAGCATAGTGGCCCCGGGAGGGGGGAGGATAGGAGGGAGCAGGAGGGGCCAGGAGGGGGCGGGGCACGGGGCTAGGAACAACACGACAGCCTCCCTGCAGCACCTCTTCCCTGCGCCTACACCACTACACCCACCACACATGCCCCAACAGTCAACACGACTAAACAGCGGCGACAGCAGCAGCGACAGGAGCAACGGTTTTCCGCATCCGGAACCCCACCCCACCCCACCACTACTGCATGCCCCGTACCCCTGCGGTGCCGACTCACACACCGCCCCCCTCCTCCCCCCCACCTGCAGCACCCGGCGGTACCAGGCTGCGTCCCATGCCGCCCCAAACACGATGTTGTCCCGCACGCTGCCCGCCATGATCCAGGGGATCTGGGCGCTGTAGGCAACACTGCCCACCAGCACCGCCCCCCTGCCGCCGCCCGGGTCACCGCCTGTGCCCTTCCTGGGCTCCAAGTGGGCAGCTGCGCCCTGCGAGGGGGCTCCGGCGCCTCTTGCTGCAGCTGATGGGGATGATGAGGACGAGGAAGGGGCGGAGGAAGAAGGAGATGCGGCGGACTGGCTGGCGCTGGTTCTGCTCCTCAGCGGCTGCAGCTCCCCCAGCAAGGCGGCTAGCAGGCTGCTCTTGCCGCAGCCCACCTCTCCACACACCGCCAGCAGCGACCCAGGGGTCACCTCCAGCTGCAGCCCCTGGAGGGTGGGCGGGGAGCCGCCCGGCGACTCGTCCGCGACCTGCTCGCCGACCACATGGCGAAACCAAAAGGCGCAAGGCTGAAGCATGACAGTGAGTGCGGTCTGGGCGCTGAGTGAAGGTCTTTCGGCAGACGAGTAGCAATTTTATAGCCCTGTGTAATGACCCTGTAGCGCTATTACCCTCCCGCCCCGGCTCGACCGCAACCCCCACCTGCTCCCCTTCACCCTCATCCCCAAACGGCCGCCGCCAGTCGTAGTCAGCGCCACGCAGGGCCACGTAGCCCCGCGGCAGGTCGCCCTCCTCGCCCGCACTTCTCCCAGTGTGGCGCAGCTCCCCCTGCTGTCCCTTCTGCCCCGGGCCGCCTGCGGGCGCCTCTGGGGGCTGCGGCGGCTCCCTGGAGGCGAGGAAGCGGTCGATGCGGCGCAGGGAGACGGCCAGCTCGGTGAGCGTCTGGATGGCTGCAGGGAGGGCAGAGGCGAGGAGGGTGGGCGGCAGCGAAGGAAAAGGGCCCCGAAGACAAGGGTGAAGGTATACCGGTATACCGGTAGTCTTCATCACTGCAGGGATGCTACAAGTGAGAGGAGCGTGCACCATGGCGCGATGGAAGCTGCTCGCCAGCGGGGGGGAGGTGCCCTCTGGCAATTCAGCCAATCCCGCCTCGTCATAGCGCGAACCCCCATACTCCCACACCCTGCCCCCAGCCGCCCCTCTCTCACCGTACACAAAGAGCGACATGTACCCCTTGGGCAGGTTGAGCAGCGACAGGCAGTAGAAGACCTTGGCCACATCCAGCTGGCCCTTGCGCGACCTGGGCGGGCGGTGAGGAATGGCGCGGGTGAAGAGGAGTGGTAATACCGTAACCCAAGTAACAGCACGTCTACACCAGGATCGTCCCAACCCACATGGCGGGACGCGATACACGCACCCGTCTAATTGGTACCGCCCAGCTAAAAAGCCGCCATGTGCCGCCTGACGGGGCCTTCATTACCCATCCGTGCTTCTAATCGGTGGCGGTGCCGCCTGCACCCCCCCCTGCACTCGTCAGTTGCTTCGTCAGTGTCTCATTATATATTTTTTACCCCCTGCACCCACCCCCGCCCCCCGGTGCAACCCACGTGTAGACCAGGAACGTCATGAAGGCCACCACGGGCGTCATGCAGAACCCCAGCGCGAAGTTGAGCGCCCGGATGCGCGCCGTGCGCCGCAGGTAGTGCTCCTCGCGCCCGCGGATGCGCCGCAGCGCCGCCGTGAAGGAGTTCTCCCAGGAGAGCATCTTGACCGCCAGGGCGCCCTGAGGGGGCGGGGGCAAGAAATGAAATAAGTGAAACAACGGGGGCGGGAACGGGGGCGAGGAGGAGGAGGCGGCGGTAAGAGGAGGGGAAGGTAAGAGCCACCGGAGTGCGTGGGCTTCGCCTACTGAGCGGGCGCCATGGTCGAGCTACATGCAACATATGCACACCCGCACCGCGCCCCCTCACCCCCCGCTCCCCCCCCCCTCCGTCCCCGCCTTACCTCGACCACCTCCCCCGCCAGGCGCACCCGCGCGTCCGTCTGCCCCGCGGTGCTCTGCCGCAGCCCGCCCATGTAGCGCACCAGGCCGCTCTGCAGCGGGATGAGCGCCAGACTGGTGGCAACACCCGCGAGCGAGGACAGCCAGTCCAGCTCCATGCCCACCTACGGGGGGGGGGCAGCGTGAGGCGGAGCAGGCGGGGCAGGGCAGGAGCAGGAAGGGTTGGCGCTGATGAGGACGGTTAGCAGGGTTGGAGACGGGTCAACGTCGTGTAATGCTGGCGGTAATGGCCCGACTTGGCATGGCATTCTTACAGAGAACCCAACTCCCGTCCCGCAACCAAACACACGTCCATGTGGGTTGGAGACCCCCACCCGGCCCGCCATCACCCGCCCCGCCCCACCATGATAAAGATCAGCAGCACCTCCAGCGGCCCCGCCCACACAAACGTCCAGTACGGCACCGAGTCATCGAAGCGCCGTACATCGTTGGACACCAGGTTGACCACGAAGCCCGTGGACAGCCCCCCCACCGCCGCGCTGTTAAGTCGCAGCACCTTGGCGGCGGTGGCGGCGATGGCCTGCTGGCGCGCCAGGAAGCCCAGGTGCATACCCGTCCTGCAGCGGGCATGGCAGCATGGGAAGATGGGAGTATGGGGTGGGAAGGTGTTACGGAGGGCGGAGGGAAGGTGTTACGGAGGGCGGAGGGAAGGTGTTACGGAGGGCGGAGGGAAGGTGTTACGCGTGAAGCCGGCCGCGCTGGGGGACTACATGGGAGGGGGGGTCAAGCGTTAGGAGATGCAGCAGGGACGGTCACAATCGCTTGGGGGTGCTTTACGGGATGTGGGTCGGTACGGGCAGATCGAGTAGGCTCGTGCCAGGAAGGTCGGAGGGCACCCATGTGAACCCCAAAGCCCGGACGGAAGGCCCCCGGCCCAACGACGGCCTGCTGCCAACATGCACCCCACCTACACGCACACACGCGCGGCCCGGCAGCTCACCAGAACATCTGGTGGTGGCTGATACAGGTTGCGAAGCCGCATGCGCCCAGCAGCAGCGCCCACAGCCATCCTTGCCACTGCGGCACCGCCCCCTGCTGGCCGCTGTGATAGTCCTGCAGCCAGAGCAGGAACTGCCGCAGCACTACTGGAGAGCCGAGCCTGCAAGGAGAGGTCGTTCATCACGGCAGGGGAAGCAGACGAGGTGACTGGGTCATAGGTGATGTGATTGGGGTGGATGTAAGGCATGAAAAGCGTAAGGTGGAATCCAACACTCCGGAACACTCTGCCATGAAGCCGGAGAACTGGAAAGCGACTTCCGCAGCTTGGCATTGAAGCTACCAGCTCTTAGGCCTCGCACCTCTGTGCCATGGCCCCGCATGTCCAGAGACTTTGCAGGATTGCAATCCGCCAGTGCTGGCGAATCAGCGCTGTTGCTGTTAACGAAGATAGCCACCCGCTTCCATAGCGGCGTTCTGCTGTCCTAGCCTGAACATGAACTAGGAAGGGTGTTGCAACAGCTGGCATTTAACAAAGTAGCAATTTAACAAGATCTAACCTTCAAGCGCCTGTATTCTTTATCGAACTGCAAAGACAATTCCCTTGCTTTGTCCGTGGGTGCGCACAACCATTGCGCATCATCCTCGTTCAGTGGCCGGACGCTGGCGTCATCGAGTAAAGGTCGCACGTAGCTGAACGTAATACGTTGCCATATGTTGGATTCTCCGTATCCGCGGCGATTTCCTGAAGAGTCCGTGGTCGGAAGTTTGTGCATTGTAACTGCAGCAGCCCTCTTGCCCGGCTAAAAGCATATGCATCTTCAATTCTTCATTCCTTAACTACTTCAAGCACCGCTTATGCTACAGCTTGTTGGGGATAGGACAAGCTCTGCAACCTTTGACAGATGACAGATAACCAATACGAAGGATTCCGGTGATCATAGCACCTGTTAAATTCAATCCGTAACGCATATTGCTGAACATGCACCAGAGGGCACAAAGGCATTCTGACATATCGCCAACTGCAAGTCCTGTGTACGACACATGATCGGACGTGATTGCGCTACATACCCCCTGCAACGCCGCTGCCCATAGCTTATCGCTGTTACCCAACATACATAGCAGATGTAAGTCAGCAGCTAGTCCGGTGAGATCCTGTTTCGCCCCAGTCCGCTGGATGCTTGACATGGGTAGGGCTGCCTAACAGTTCTCACCTGGATCTTGCCACGAGCGGCGAGGTCCAAACGCAGCTGGACGGCATGTTGACTGCGGGCTTCAGGGTTACAGAGGACACTACGCTTATTTGCCCCACCGGGATCTGAAACGCCGGCTATAAATCCAAGCACTGTCCAGCACAGTTACCCGTGTGCGGCTCGGCCAAGTTTAAAAGGACAAAATCAGTTCCCTTACCATGGTCACGACCCTTGCTCCTATCCATAATACGTGCCACGTGCCAATTTCCAACGTATATGCTTTAGCATGGTACTGAGCACGTCAGCGTCTTCCCATCATGGACAACCAAACACCCCAGGTGAACCCTCAAACCCCAAGTATGTAACATGCAAACAACTTCACCTCACCTTCATTTCCTACCGGTAACTTCTAATCATCCCCAATTCTTGTTATGAAGTCTGCAAGCTGCAACAAAAAGGTTCCGAGCACAAATGGCTCTACAAACGTCCTACACGCTCAGGTGTGCCCCAATCCAGAGCGCCACCCTTGCTTAGGCTTGTGTAACTGTACGGCAACACGGCGCAACATCGGCCACGAACAACATACGGATGTTATCTCAAAACCTGCAAAACGTTACCTGCACACTAATGTTGTGCGCAAAAGAAGACAAATGACAGTCAAAGGGCATTCCATGCCACTCGTTAACGGGCCTACACCCTTGCCTGCCTAGCTCAGCCGTCGGTCTGCTTTCCAGCCGCTATACCGGTACGTCCCGAGGACTCTCACTCTCCATGTCCCCAACCGCCCCCGCCGCGCTGCAATCTGCAAGCATCGCCAGCGCCATCTACACCTCACGTACGCCGAGTACCCTCCTCCTCAGTTTCACGCTCTGCAGCACTGCAGGGCACTGCTACCACCAACTCCTGTACAGCCGCCGGCATGCTGCATGTGCTTCCCTGACGGCCAAAGCCCCAACCACTTCACCGCACCACACCGCACCACACGCGGTGACACCTACGTCTAGACAGCCTCAGCAACTCATGCTTCCGGCGCTTCCGGATGCCACCGGCATCGGCCCTCCCGCGCCACCGCTCACCACACGCTCTCTCAATCGCCTGCCTCATCACACCCTAGGACCCTGCCCCTGGCCGCACCCTACTCTTGGGCCACCATGCGCCCCAAGCTGACCTACGGCTCAATCACCTGCGGCTCCACTACCTCCAACTCTTTGAAAATCTCAAGCAGCTCAACCACGCCGGCGTCAGGCTGGCTGCTACCCCTGCCGTTGCCGGATCGGGCTGCTGACCCGACGCTGCTTTGCGCCTCCACCTCCGCCGCAGACGACTGCTCCTTCGCCTCCAGTGCTGCTAACCTGATTGCCGCCGCCGCCGCTGCAACACTGATGCTTGCACCGTCGCTCTCCTGCCCCTGCTTCCCATGCTCCCCATGCACTCCCGACAGCGCCTCCTCCAGTAGGTCCTGCAATTCCCCGAACTCCTCAGCCTCCACCACCGAAGTCGCACCCGCTCCCGCACCCGCACCCGCTCCCCCGCCGCGCGACATCCACCCGGACGCCATCCTCCCGCCTCCCGTCCTCTTCGGTACCTCCACAACCGACGCCGCCGTCACTGCGGCTCCGGCACCCGAGCCCCCGTCGGCGCCGCCAAAGCCAACACCGCGCCTCCTCGCGTGCCGGCCGCCGCTGCTGCTGCTGCCGCTGGTGCTGCTGCTAGTGCTCCCGACATCACTCGTGAGGGCCATGTTGTGCATGGCTTCTGCCGCCTGCACCGCCTCCTGCAGCCTCTCCGAGCCGCCCAGCACTCCGCTGCCGTGTGCTTCCAACAGGGCGGACTGGATGACAGCTGAGATGCGGGAGTCAAAGGTCTGGCCCTGCCGGGTGAAGAGCTCCAGGCAGCGGTTGAGGTCGCGAGACAGGGCGGTCAGCTGGGCCGGGCTGAACACATGGGCCCAGCGCGCCATCGCCTGGAGGCGGAGGCGGCGGCACGAGGGGGGGGAGGAAGCGGGCGGCATGCGGAGCAAATGTGAGCGGTCGGGGCGGAAGGAGGCAAGACAGACAGACAAAGAGCATGCCCGCATGACTATAGCCCCCGCTGCGGAACCCTGCAGACTCACCCCAAACGCCCCCGCCATTTGCAGCAAGTACTCCTCCGCTGCTGCTGCCGCCCCCGGCTGCAGCGGCCGCGCCGCCAGCAGCACCAGCGCCGCCGCCGTGCCCTCCAGCCACTCCTCCTCCGGCTGCACCCCCCAGGCCGCCAGCCGCAACAGCACCTCCGTAAAGCACTCCAGGCGCCGCCAGCCCGGCTGCAGCGCGAGCCACCCCCCCGCTTGCGCCCCCGCATGCGCCTGCTGCGTGCCGCTGTGCAGCACTGCGGCGGCGGCCAGCACCGCGTTCATCAGCCGCGGACCCGGGCGGTAGGCGTGGAGGGAGAGGGCCTGCGGGCAAGAGGAGGAGCAGGGAGAAGGAGCAGGGAAGGGAGCGTGCGAGAGGAGGTGTGACGAGGGTTGGGGTGCTGAGGGGCGGCGTGTAGAAGAAGAGCGCTGCTGGGTACGACGGAGGTGTAGGTAGACTGGGTCTACTCGGGCTGCGAGCTCCTAGGGTTGAGGATTGCGAGGCATGCGGTATAGCCTGCACACCCGTCACACGCGGCGACAGCCCTCCCCCCCCCCGAGTCCAATGTAGCAACCCATGGTGACGCCCCATCCCACACCTCGCCCTATCGTTCCTTCCTCCTCCACCCAACTCACCCTGCACAGTGCCGTCAAGCTGCCCTCACTCAACACATCCACAGCCACAGTCGCCCTCGCCACCACCGCGTCCACCGCCTCCAGTTCCTGCTCCTCCAGCTTCCCCGACCCCGCCGCCATCCTCGCCTTCATCGCCTCCAGCTGCTCCCGCGCCTCTCGCAGCACCTCCGGCGCCGCCGCCAGCGGCCGCGCCAGCACCACCTCCGCCGCCTGCAGCACCTCCGTCCGCACCACATGCCCCATGTCCCCCACCGCCCCCAGCAGCCGCACCAGCGTGCCCGGGTTACATGTGGCCAGCTGGCCCATGCGCTGCTCCAGAACCAGTGCCAGCCGGGTCGACAGGGCGGGCACCAGCGCGGGCTGGTAGCCGGCGGCGATGATGCCCGTGGCGGCATCTGCGAGCAGCTCGGGCGCTAGGGTGGGCGCGGCTGCGTCCAGGTTCCTGCATGGGGCGGGGGGAAGGACACGAAGGAGGGGTGTGGGAGGAGGTGTGGGGGAGACAACAGGAGTTTGCTGTGCCGGCTGCGTGGGGCTCTTTAGTTTTAGTATGTACTATGGAGCTGGGAACATGCGGGTATGTGCTGCACTCGTTTCAATCGCTCGGCCCTTCCTTCGTCTCACACATTTCGCCGCGCCCAGCCGGCATATGCTAACAGATATGCACCCCCATTTTCACCACCGTACATGTCACATGTCACCGCACCCTATCTCTCCCCCCAGCCCTCTCCCAGCCCCACCCACTTGTAATACTCCGCCAGCCACTGCCCCTGCACGGCGCACCGCGCCTGCGCCAGCAGCCGCAGCAGCTTGCCGGTGTGGCCCCACCCCGCCTCGCCCACATGGCCCAGCGTCAGAGCCTGCATGGCCAGCGACCAGGCCTCCCGCCGCTCGGGCGAGGAGGCGAACGGCAGATCCAGATCGAAGGTGCCGATGGCGTGGAGCAGGAACTCCGCCACTTCATATGCTTGGGAGGGGCGCTGCGAGGCGAGCTCCATCATGCCCTTGCTGCCGGTGCAGTCCAGAAGCAACTGAGTGGGGGCGCGAAAAGGGATAAAGTGGACACAGTTACGCAGTTGAGGAGGAGGGGAGTGGGGAGGGCTAATGAAGGCAATGAAGGACTGAGGGTAGCAGTGTGGACGGAGGACGGGGGACGGGAAGGGACATGGGCTGCGTGGAAACCAAACCACTTCTTGTGTGGGTGTTCCGCCCCGCTACCGTATCAGGGTATCACGATTCCTCGTTGCGCGCCAGGGGCAGCATCATGCGCACACCGGCTGATCCCCAACGGTGGCCGTTAGGAACCCTCCAACCCGCTGAGCCCCCCCGCACCTGCATCAGCCGTCCACTCGTTTCATTGACCCGCTCAGCTGCCTTGTTGCCAAGACCCTGGTCGTTGCAACTCCGGACGAAGCCCAGGAAGCCCATGACCCCAGCAGCTTCGTAGGGGCTGAACTTGGGACATACCTCCTGCAGGCGTGCGGGCGCGGATGTGGGGTGCTCAGTCCGAACGACCCACACCATGTCGGCACGACTGCCACCTTTGCCACCTTCCAACGCAGTAAGAAACAGTACATGCGGCGACAGACAGCAAGGCTGCATGCATTCCAGATGCCCCAGCGGTGCACAAGCTGACCCGCTGGTTGATGCTCGCACGGCCACCCCACGTTGCTGCTGTTGTAGCTAGCTAAGCAGGCCGGACAGGATCCATTAGCAGCCGTTCCGCAACCTAAAACATTAGCACCCCTACTGCGCCCAGGGGGACCCCAGAGCTCCTGCTTGTAGCGCCCCCTCCCCTGCCGCCTCACCTCCACTCGCTGCATGAAGGATTGCAGGAAGGAGGGGGAGGGCATGTAACCCGTGATACGGCAGACGTTGGCAAACGGCGCCAGCAGGTTGTGTTGCTGCGCCGCCAGCCGACCTGCAAGGTAGTGCTCCAGCTCCTGCACAGGGGCAGCGCAGGGAGGAGGGGGGCACGGTCAGTGCGGGGGACTAAGGAGGAAGAGGAGAGGCGGGCATGAGGCAGGTCAAGACAGGAAGCCCTAGGGAGAGAGGTGTGCTGCAGGTACGGTACCAGAAAAGAGCCCAGAAGTACGGTGATGCAGCCGGGACAACAGGCAGTGAACAATGCCTCCGCGCCCTGAACCGCAGCCCATCCGGCCCCCTAGCCCCAGTGCAATCCCAGCCATGCGCAACGCACCTCAAGCAGCTCCGGTGAGAGGACATGCCCCAGCCGAATCAGCGCCACCAGCATCCTGCCTAGCACCCGATCGCCTACACCCCGCAGCGCCACCACCGCTCCCGCCTCCTCCCCTTCTCCTGCTCCGCCCGCCGCCGCCGCCCCCTTGTCCTCCGCCGCCGCTTCAGCCTCCGCTCCGCCCGCCGCAACCACTGCCGGGCCGCTGCCACTGCCGCTGCGACTACTAGCAGCGCTGCTGCTGGCGTGGGAAGCCCCCGCGGGGTGCTGTGCGGCGGCCTGCCTGAGCGCGGGCGCCAGCATGGCTTCAAGCAGCGGGAACAGCGACTCGGGTGCCGGCTGCCCCGCCTCCGCCAGGCCCTCCAGCAGCAGCACCACATCGGGCAGCCCCAGCGGCGCTAGTAACCGGGGATCCAACCGCGCTAGCGCCGCCGCCCGCTCCGCTTGCAGCGCCTCCTCATCCTCCTCATCGCCCTCCACACCTTCCTGCTCCTGCTCCACCGCCGCCTGCTCCTCCTGCTGCGCCGCCACCTCCTCCCCTTGCGCCTCCGCCTCCGTCTCCTCATCGCCCTCCCCAGTGATCCCCAGCTGCCCCTCCAGGTCCTCCGTCACCGCCTTGCTCGCAGCCAGCGCCAACACCATGAACGAACCGTCCATGCGCAGCGTCAGCTGCCAGAACGCCCGCACCAGCCCGCGCGCCGACAGCGGTCGCCGCGGCACACCCCCTTCACCCGTACCGTGCGCCGGGCTGTTCAAGTCCTCCACAATCGCCTCCCGCACCGCCTCCATCCACTCCTCGTCCGGCCTCGCGCCCATGTCGTACAGCGCGGCCGTCGCCTCCACCACCTCCACCAGCCCACCCAGACCCCCGCTCACGATGTTCTCCACCACCGCTGCGGACAGCGCATCCAGCTGCTCCGCCGGCGGCTGCGCCTCCTGCGCACGCAGCGCCATGATGCCAGCAAACAATTTCTCCCCACGCAGGGTGCCCAGCTCTGCAGCTGCTGCCAGACGACCGCATGCAGCGGCCACCTGCGGTGCCGCCAGCCGCAGGCCCAGCTGCCGAGCGACGTCCAGCACCTCCAGCAGAGCCTTATCGTTGTCCTGGACGGGCAGCACATTGGCGTCCAGGTAGCGACTGAGCTCCGCCGCGAGGGGCCCGTCGGCGGGGTTGGGCGGCAGGTCGGGGAGGTAGATGTTGAAGTCGGCGGTGGGGTCGCAGGTGCGCAGGTGCTCATCTGCGCAGCCCCACGCGAGTGCTTTGAGGATGGGCATTGCAACGTCGTGTGGCAGGGAGGTCAGGCGGCGCGAGAGCGCCAGGGAGGCCTCCTGACGCAGCCTGCGCAGCGGGGAAACAGCGGATGAGGCGGGGCGGGGTGAGGCGGGTGTACGGGGTGAGGTACCGCAAGGGGCAGCGCACCACCGCCAGAGGCAGGCAGGCATTGAGGGAGCATGAAAAGCATGACAGGGTGATGGCATTGTTGGCCGTAGCAGGGACGCATGTGTCAGGGCGCTTAACAGCCTACATCCGGTTTCCTATTATTTGGGGTCCTTCCTTACCCCCTCCGCCCCCCTCACCTCCGCCCCCCTCACCTGGGTCCGGGCACCAGCCCCAGCTTCATCAGCCCCCACACCGCATCCAGCACCTGATCCGGGGACAGCTGCTGCTGCACCTGCTGCACGCCAGCACCCCCTGCTGCGACAGCCGGCGGAAGCAAGCCAACCGCCTCCGCCGCCTCCGCAGTGCCCTCCAGCCTCGCCGCCAGCACCTCCAGCAGCGGCTGGTAAATAGCGAGCTTCTTCGCCTGCGTTGCCGCCGATTCGACCTCCTCCTCGGGAACGTCGAGCTTGGCCATCAACCACACCAGCGCGGCGGCGCTGGGGGCTGGCAGCGCCGCCCGCGCATCCACCGCCGCGGACACCAGCGACCCCAGCCACTCGACCGCCGTGTCGGGTCGCTGCTCCTCCGTGAACTCCACCAGCATTCGCCCCACCGCCAGGGCCGACGGAAGCAGCTGCAGAAGCGCGTCCTGGGAGGTGGACAGTGCGGAGGAGCCGCCGCCGCCGCCGCCTCGCTTAGCCGCGCGCGCGCGGGAGCGCCTTGACTGCGCCCTGTCCTTGCCCTTCTTGGACAGCTGGGCCGAGTCGGCAGGCGCCTGGGAAGCCTCGGATGCTTCTGCGGCTGATAGCTCGGGCGAGCGGGAGTCCTCGGCGCCGGCAAAGCTCTCCAGCAGGCGGCCGGTGTGCCGCAGGTAGCGGTCCAGCAGCACGGGCGGCGGAAGGCCCAACTGCGGTACCTCCGTACAGGCCTGGACGTACTGTACGGCAGCGTCGTGCGGCAGAGCCGCCGCGACGGCGCCGTCAGCCACCGCCACCGCCGCCGCCAAGGCTGCCGCCAGCTGCGCGCTCAGGTCCGCGCCGGCCTTGTTTCTCCGCATCCTCAACACCGCCGTCACCGCTTGGCTGACCTCCTCCAACCGGGCGACTGCTGAGGAGGAAGCGGAAGACGAAGAAGCACCCGCCGTAAGGCTCTCCGAGGCCGCCTTCAGCTGCGAGGTCAGCACCCGCTGCGCCTCCTCCCACCACTTGGGGCTCACCTTGCGCCCCTCCGCCGCCGCCACCACCGACAGCATGCGGGACAGCAGCGGCAGCGGCGTGGCCGCCAGCTTGGCTTGCGACACAATCACCAGCTGGTTGGCGGCGGCCTCCCGTACGACACCGCCCAGCTGCTTAATGCCGTACAGCGCCTCCGCCAGGTCGCGGTACGACGCCTGCAGGGCGCGGCCCTCGACCTGCCGTACAGCCATCGCCAGCCAGCCCGGGGTGACGTACTGTTGCAGCTGCAGCGCCGTCAGACCGCCGACAAGCTGCGACAGCTGCGCCGGAGTGAACGTGGCGGCAGCCGCAGGCGCCCCTGCGGCGGCTGTGCTTGCCGACGTTGAGGACTGAGAGGACTGCTGCACCGCCGCAGCAGCGTTAGCTCCGCTGGGCTTCTGTGATGTCGCAGCCTTGGCCGGGCTCTTGGCGGCGGCATTCGATCGCGTCCGACCCGCCGCCAGCGATGCAGCCACCGCCGCCGCACCTGCGGCCTGTGCCTGCGTCAGCGGCAGCGGCGCCCCCAGGAACGGCGCCGTCGCGGCCAGGAAGGCAGACGTCCACTCCGCTGACGGCCGGTATCCATGCGCCACCAGCACCTGCAGCGTCAGCGCCAGGGCAGTCGGCGGCGCCGCCGCCAGCTTGCGCTCCATGTCCCTAACGAACGCCTCGATCCAGCTGCCGCTGCTGCCGCTGCCTCCGCCGCTGCCCGGCGCAAGCCTCGCCAGCTGCTCGCAACGCGTCGCGGCGGTTGCAATGCGCGCGGAGGTGAGTGGGTCCAGCGTCGGTAGCGCCGCCAGGTTCGCCGCCAGCAGCGCCGCCAGCCACGCCGGTGGCATCGACAGCCCCATGGCTGCGGCGCCGCCAGACAGCGCCGCCAGGGCCTGAGGCGTCGCCGCCGCCAGGGACGGCTGCAGCAGCTGCAACAGCGACAGGAGCTGCTGCCGAGGCACGACGTCGGCCGGGCCATCCGCCGCCGCCGACGACGTCGGCCCTTGCGTCTCCGCAGCTGCCGCGTCAGCCGACTGGCGCAGCCTCGCCGCCACCTCCACCAGCTTGGCAGTGGCTTCCAAACCCAGATCCGCCAGTACTCGCTCCGGAACCAGTGCCACCTCAGCGACCCGGCGGAGTACGGCAACCGGCGTCAACGCCTCCACGCCCTCCTTGCTCTCGCTGGCGCCGCCGCTGGCGACCGTCTTCACCTTTGCCGCCAGCGGCTCCGTAAGGTTCACCGCCAACGCATCCATGACGGAGAACAGCAGCGCCGCGTCACGTGGTCCCAACGTCGCCGCCTTGTCGTACACCCGCGTCAACGCCGCCGCCAGCAACGCCTGCCGTACCTTTCCCTTGCCCGCCGCCGCCACCAGGCCCAACAAGCCAACCACCGAAGCCGCCGGCAGCCCAGGCACGTGCTGCCCCGCAACCGATAGGAAGTGCTCCAAGGCACCCGGCTTGATGCCCCACGGCAGCCCCACCTCCAACGCACGGCGCGCGGCGGCGGTGGCGGCGGCCGCTGCGGCGGGTGCGTCAGTGGCGCGAGACAGCAGCGCCGACCAAACCTCCGCCGGGGCGCGAACCTCAGACAGGGCCAGCCCCGACAGCAGCGCCGCCAGGTCGGGGGTGTCCAGTGACGGCAGCGCCGACGTCGCCGCCGCCAGCAGCTCCGCCGCCACCTCCATCACGCCAGCGGGAAGGGCGACGCAGGGGCCGCCGCCGCCAGCAAGCTCGCCGAGGTGCAGCGCCAGGCCGCACGTGGCGGAGCCCACGGCTGCTGGGATGCCGGTTGCGAGGAGGCGCTGTGCCGCCGCCGCCACAAAGTCGGGTCGGGCCGCTTGGACCCCGGCGCCGCCGCGAAGAGCGAGGGAGTGCAGGACCGCCGCCATGGTGGTTAGCTGGGCGGGGGAGGTACGGCGCATGGAGGAGACGACGGCAGCCTCCCATGCGTCCACCCAGTCACTCTGCGCAGGGGCAGGGGGCGCGGGGCGGGAGGGGTGACATGGTAAGGGCGCCAAAGCGGAACAGGCTGCAGGTGGGTGCGAATCAAGCGCAGAATGTCGCCTGAAGGGGAATCCTGCGGTACCAGTGAGCACCATGCTCCACCTCAACCCCCTAGTAATAGTACCCGGAGCCCATGCCGCCCGCGTCCCGCCCCTCCCCCCCCCACCCGCCGCCTTCCCCCCCATACCTGCGGCTGGTAGCCGGCCGCCACGAAGGCCCTCGCCAGCGCCAGGCCCGCCGCCGGCCCCAGCGCCGCCAGCACCCCCTCCTCGCACGACCCGCGCTCCAGCGGCTGCAGCAGCGCCGGCGGCACCGCCAAACCCGCGGAGCAACAAGACAGCACCCCCTGCGCAGCGGCGCGCAGTGCCTCCTCGTCCACCGCCGCCTCAGCAGCATGTGCGGCGGCCGTGCCGCTAGCAGCGGCCATGGCGGCGCCTCGGAGCACCTGCCGCGCCGCCTCCGCCGCCGCCGGACCCAGCGGCGCCACCTGACCCGCCGCCACCAACGCCCGCCAACCCAGCACGAGTTTCGGCGCGGCGACGGTGGCGCCAGCCGCCGCCACCTCTGCCGACGGCTCAGCGCCGCTGCTCTCGGCGGCGGCGGCGGCGCCTGCGTCACTCAGCACCTTGCACGCCTTCTCCAGCAGGCCCGGCGCCACCACTCCATCCAGCTGCGCCACCGCCGCCAACCCCGCCGCCGCCAGCTCCGGCCCCGCCTCCGTCACGTTGTCGGTGACCAGCTGCCGTACGACGCCAGCGAAGGCACGTGACGGCGGGATGCGCAGCTCGTTGCACACCGCCGCCAGCGCGAGGTAGGAGGGCAGGAAGGCGGGGCGCAGGGTGGCTAGCGCGTTCTGGGAGGTGAAGCGGGAGAGCAGGCGCAGATGGCACTCCTGCGGGAGGGGGAGGGGGGAACGGGGCAGCATGGAGGTGAGGACAATAACTAGAAGTGACACTCGACCTTTTGTGGTATGCCCCCGACATGGTAACAGGATTAAAGCGTAACACCAAGACAACCCCTGACAGCGCCGACGCCATCCACCGCCCTCGGCCTCACCCTCAGCTCCGCCGTCTCTGCGTCCGTCCCGCTAACCGCACCCGGGGCAATCCTGGCGGCACCGCCGGGTCCCCTTCCCACAGGCGCTGCCTGTTGCTGCTGCTGCTGCTGCAGGGCCGACCTCTGCAGCTGCTCCTGCAGCTGCTCCTGCCGCTGCCGTACGATGCGCGGCAGCTGCTGCGCCGCCAGCACCGCCTGCTGCGGACTCAGGCGGTCCTCCGCCACCACCCCGCGCAGCTCCGCCACGGTGCTGCAGCCGCGGATGCGCGCCTCCAGAGCCGCACCGTAGGGCACAGCGGCGCTGCCGGCTGCGCCCTGACGCTGCCCCGCGGGTACGGCACCCGCGGAGGCACCCGGCGCACCCGCCGTCGGCGGCCTCTCTCCCCTAACGCTGCGTCGGCCCACTCCCTCGCTGTTGGGGGTGGTGGCGGCGCTGCCGGCAGCAGCGTCCGCGGCGGGCGGGGCGCCCCGGTACCAGCTGTCACGTGCTGGGCCCGTGTAGCGCCCGCCCCGCCCCGGTTGCCGGCTGCCGACGGGAGCAGTTCCCGAGCTGCCGGCAACACCAGCAGCCGGACCCGGGCCCGCGGTGGACGCCGCTGCTGCTGCTGCTGCTGCTGCTGCTGCTGCGGCGGCGGCGGCGGCGGCGGCGGCAGCTAGGGTTGCTGGCTGAACCGGCGCTTGTGGTGACGCTGGCGTAGCTGGCAAGTCAGCGGCAGCAGCAGCAGCGAGCCCGGTGGGAGCGACGTGCGCGTGAGGCTGGGGCTGTGCCGCCGTCTCCTGCGCGGCACCATCTGCCACAGCTTCCGTGCTGGCTTGTGACGTCGGCACGCTCTCCTCTCCCGCGCTTGTGGCTCCCGCTCCCGCCGCCGCCAAGCTGTCGTACAGCTCCCTCAGCTCCCCAGTGGCGGCGGACAGCTGCTGCATGCGCGCCTCCAGCTCGGGGAGCGGACTCGCGGGTGCCGCCTCCGCTGCGGCCGGTGCTGCTGCTGCTGTCGCTGCTGCGGCCGGTGCTGCTGCTGCTGTCGCTGCTGCGGCCGGCGGGCTGTCGTCCGCCCTCGCCTCTGCCGCTAGGGCCTGGGGTGCCGCTGAGAACGCGACCTGTGTCTGAGGCTGCACCTGCTGCGGTGGCGGTGCTTGCGGCGGCTGCGGCGGGGTTGGCGACGAGGTCACAGCAGCCGGGCTCTCCGCCGCGGCATGCACCGCTGGCGCAGCAGCAGGGGCGGGAGCGGCGGGCGCGGGAGTAGCAGGGGCGGGAGCAGCAGGGGCGTGCTGCTGCGCGGTCGTCATTCCCTGCACCTGCTGCGTGAGCGCGGTGACCTGTGAGAGGAGCGCCTGGTTCTGAGCCTGCGTGCTGGACACCAGGGAGGCCATGTCCAGCAGCTGGTGAGGGGAAGGGGGGCGGTGGGGTCGCAGGAGGGCAGGAGGGAGGGGTGGGGGCAAACAGGGTTGTCAGGGAGGGAAAGGGCGGGGGCAAGGCATGTTGTTAGTCTGGCAAGAATAGGAAAGAATAAATCCCGTCAGGGCAAGACCGCACTCCTCCTTTCTTGTTCAAAAGCTTCGCGCCATGTTTCCTTGTTTCCCTGATACTCTAAGCCAGCACGGGCCCCGCTGCCCGGCCGCACATCCGCACCACACACACCCTTCTTTCCCTAAGACTCCCCGGCCGCACACCCGCACATCACGTCCCCCTCACCTGTCGCTGCAGCATGGCCATCTGCTCCATCAGCAGCCGCTGGCTCAGGTCGTTGACAGCAGCAGCCGAGTATGCGGGGTCAATTGTGAGCGGTGCAGGCGCGCCGTTGGACACAGCCGATGATGCTCCGTTGGTGTGGTAGGGGAGGCCGTTAGAAGCCGGCCCGCCGTTTGGGTATGGCAGGGATGGTGTGGCGCTGACCGTGGGGACGCCATTGGATGGCTGCTGGCCTGGCGAGAAAGAAACTGCCGGCGGGGAAGGTTGCGCGTTTTGTCTGAGAGATGGCGAAGCGTTAGGAAGGCTGGGTGTTGTGCTCGCTCCTGGCACAGGGCGAGGTGGAAGCGGCGCCCGTGACGACGCCTGCAAGCATGCGGGCGGAAAAATCGGATTTGGCAAAGACGGCAAGGCAAAAGAGTTCAATTATGCATAATTAAGCAACTGGATGCCATACGCGCGGATTGCAGCGTAGACGCACGTTTCTGGCGGCTGGGCGACGTTTCGATAGCTCAATTAAACTGGAGCAACGCGGTCCGTTACAGTAACCGGCCAAGACATACCTGCCCAGGAACCTGGCGGTTGACGGATTGTCTCATCGTGTAGACAGGCCAAAGCTGTCAAGGAGTTGGTGCTATCTCGAGTAGCGACGCCGCCAGTCGTTCGGGTCCGCAAGGTCTGGGCAGTATCTAAAGCCCAACACTATGCACCAGGTGCAATTGTGAGAAATCTTAAGCTAGCATGTTAGTTAAGTGCATATGGGCTTGCAACTTTCGGAACCACTTCAAGGCAAAGGTTCCGCTAGGCAGCTTCAAGCTGCCTTACACGTCACGGAGTTTTAGCATACACAAATTAGCCTTCTCGTTAGCGTCAGTTGACCTGGGCAACCACGACCACGATTGGAACCACGCACCGCATGCCGTACCGGTATTGCTTCGGAGCGCAATCGCCTTTCGGAACATCGCGAGTTTGGACGTTTGCAAGTTAGGCGGGCACACAGCAAAGTCGTATAATTAAGTAGTGTGTCATCTTTGGCAAACCGTGTAGCTAAGAAGTAACAACCATGTCGCATGGCATCCAGTCTGCGACATGCTAGCGACAGCTAGCGTCGGCGGTGCACTTTGGCAACCTAAGCGATCAGCAACGCGGCACTACTCATAAAATACTACACGTTTCTGCATCTGTAGGCTTTGTGGGTGAAACCCTAGAACCCTACTCACTTGGCGCTACGGTAACACAACGCGGAGGACGGCATCTCCTACAGCATGATTCATGCCTAAAAGCAGTCTCAGAGGGTCCAGCCAGCCTTCCAAGGGTTACCTCCCGGCAGTCTATTGACCGCGGAGACATTTCACCCAGACATTGCAAGGGACGAGGAACCTGAGGCTGTGCCAGGCGGTAGAGACTTAGAGCAACAAAGACTGGTCCCACGGCATTTCGCATGCCCTCTAGGGCCGCGTTAATGCGCACTAGGGATTTCTAACAGGGAAGCCGAGGGGGGGGTGATGGTGGTTCACAAGGTATTGTAACATGTCAAGGCCTGTCAAGGCGCAAATTAACTGGCCCCGCAGGCCCCTGCTTACCGCCGCCAAGGCGTTAAACGCAACCTGACCAATGCTCCAAAACTGACCTATCACCCTCACTGTATTTCACGCGAACACCCATGCCATTGCACGTGTGTTGCATTTTACGGAAAAAGACAAAGAAAGCATGCATGTACAAAAAACATGAATACCACACAGACGCAAGCCGAGACCACTGACAAGAATGGAAACCTCATGATGCGGGCAGCAATACCCCAACAGCCAACACCGCAGCTGCTATACGCAATAGATCTTCCCACACAGAAATAATGGCTGCATGCCTTGCACGGACAAACAAAGGCGAACCAGGTTCTAGGAACCCATGGCGGCACACACATGCACTTCCTGGAGTTCCTGCGTTGCGTTGCAGAAGCCCTATGTGTCATGATCATATTATCAAGGTAATCGGTATATGCCTGCTTCCTCCCTCCCTTCCCCTTCGCTCCCTCCCGGCAATCCCCGGCGTGCCAGCAATGCCACGAAGTGCCCGAAGTAATGACCACGGCGTCGCAGCAGTTCATTGTAACGCGCTCCGTTCGTGCACAAAAACGACCTAACAAGCAACACTCACACAAACAAAAATGCATAACAAGCCACATCATTCACATCCCCCTTTACAAGGATCAAAGCCGCTCTCCAAAGCAGTTCTCCGAGTTCCGTTCCTTTCCCCCTCATCATCTCCTTCCCCTCCGAAGAGAGCTGTCATGTGAAGCACAGCAGCGCCTCCCCGCTGCCCCCCCACCTGCTGCCCCCCCCACCTGATGCCCCCCCACCTGCTGCCCCCCACCTGCTGCCAACCCGCCCCTGTCCCCCTCGCCACCAGCCCCTCTCGCTCCCCCGAATGCACAGAACGCCCATCACGCCGCCATCACGCCACAACACACCCACACCCACACCATCACCCAGCCAACCACGCACCCACCCACACTCGTTCCCTTCAGGCCCTCAATCCACCGACCGCACAACGAACCTCCCGGCCACCCCCCCTGCCGCCACCACCGCCTGCTGCTGCTGCTGCTCCGCCTGCCTGCACTCCCCGCGTGTGGGCAGGTCCCGCGGGCTCATGCGCTCAAAGGTGAAGTTAAAGGTGTTGGGCATACCGCGGTGGGGCAGGGAGGTCCAGCGGGGGTCGGACCAGCTGAAGGGGGGCTGACCCTGGGGACGAGGAAGAGGAGAGAGGTCAGGAGGGAGGGAGATAAATGGGGAAAGGGAAGAAGAATAACCATGCCATGAATGAATGCGACAAGTCAGGGTGAGGAATGGGGGTTGGGGAGCGGGCGTTTTGAAGAGCTAGCCGGACTAGGTGTTGGCTTCCGATGGGGGCAAGGGCAGCAGAGGCCAGGCCGGATGTGGAGGGATGTGGGCAGGCTGTGCGGTGTGTTGCGCGGTGGTGGGGCACATGGGCTGCCCCTCACCCATCCTGCCGGTTGCCAGGCCCCCCCTCCCAGCTGCCTAACCCCGCCCTGCCCTGCCGCCCTCCCGGAGATCCGGAACCCCCTCCGCAACACCCCCTCTACCAGTCGCCTGCCCGCACCCCACCTTCTTCCTCCCCCTCCTTCCTCCTCCTCCCCCGTAGCTTCACTTCCAGTATCCTCCCCCGCCCTTACCTGCGCCGTGGGCCCGCCCACCACCTCGCTCTCCATGCGGGCAATCATGCTGGCACTGGTGACCTTGGAGTCTGGGGGGGCGGTGGAGGCGGGGAGGAGGAGGGGGGTTGTTTAGAGGTGGGAGGCGGGGACAGACGCGCGAGAAAGGTGCAAGGGAGAGGGCTGCCCGCCGTATACCCCACTCCAGATCCCCAGCCAGGACCATGCAGGCACTCTACCTATGCCCCATCCCCCCCTCCTCCGCCCCCTCCTGCCTCACCGTAGCAGCCCTTGGCAATGGCTTGCGGCCCCTCCAGCAGGTCCCCCCGCGGGCACACCGCCCCCACCGGGTTGCCCTCCGCGTACTGCGAGCGGGGAAGGGAGGTGAATGGGGGAGGCCAAGAGGGAAGGGAAGGGTGAATGGGGGAGGCAAGCAGGCTTGGGTTGCTACATTGGACCCGGTCCATCTCACCCCACAAGCAGGGAGGGGGCCACATGACAGGGCGCCGTCAGGCCGCACCCCCCCCTCCGCATAATCCCCCCCCGCATGTGCATGTGCATGTGCATCACGGCGCATGCGGTCCTACAGGAGCGCTGCACTGGCGCGGCAGCACTGCAGGTAGGGTGGGCAGCAGTACCCACCTCGATGACCCCGAGTACCTCCCCCCCTCTCTTTCACCCCCGTCCCCCCTCCCCTCCCCTCCCTCCCCACCGGGTCGTGCTGCCAGTCGTTGTAGCGCATGATCCGCTTCAGTCCCTCCAGCTCCGTCACCCCGCCCTGGTCGCGCCGGAAGATGGCGGCGCGAGGGGCGACCTGGTAGCGCAGCAGCCGGATGGGGAAGGAGTACTTGTGGGCGCCCTGGGCAGCCAGCCGGGAGATCTGGAAGCGGGGAGAGGGGAGGGGGAGGGGGCGTGGTGGGTGGTGGTGGTGGTGGTGGTCGATGTGGAGGGCGACATCCTTACACAACCCCACACGCCAAACCACATGCCTCCCCTCACTTCTGCCCTGTTGCCCTGTTTCCCATCTACATCACCGTTCCCCACGTCCCCATGTCCCCCTGTCCCCCTGTCCCCCCAAGTACCCCACCATGTCCGGGTACCCCGCCGCCTGGTAGACCTCAGGGAAGAAGGCCACGTTGTAGGAGGGCCAGTAGCCGCGACTCAGCTCACCCGTCATGTCGGCGGACTGGAGGGCGGGGGAAAAACGAAGAACACCCAATGTGATGAATGAGCATGGCAGAGAGGGGGGGAGCGGGAGGGGGATTAGGGGGAGGCCGGGAGGGTGGAGGGGGAGGTAAAAAAATATATATGATGAGACACAATATATATGAGGGGGAGGGAGGGAGGGGGGGTGGCGAGATGTGTATGGGCTGTGGGGCAACAAGTTGGCATGGCTGGAGTCGCGGAGGAGGCAGGTGGGGGTAGAGTGGGGCGCAATGGCCGTACGGACACGGCCATGACGTGAAGGGGGGAGGTGGGGGAAGGAGGCAGCAGGTAGCGAGGCCCCCCTCCTCCTCCCCGCCCCCCAGCACCCCCCCCACCTTTATCATTCCCGGCAGCTGCTCCACCACCCACAGCAGCCCCGGCCGCATCTCCTTGTGGCGCAGGAAGCGCTTGGTGTCCACAATCATGTACTGCCGGGTGCGGGTGCGGAGGAGGGGAGGGAGAGAAGGAGGGCGCACAGATCGTCAGACATGACTGCTTGTTGCATACCTCCCCACCACACCCCACCTGCCACTCCCTCCCCCCACGCATGGTCCTTCAATCCCCGTATGCCCACCTGGCCCCTCGCCCCTACCTGCGTTGTTGCATTTATTTATAATTTTCCCCCCTGCCCCCACCCCCCCACCTGGTTGTTGTACGTCCCGCTGTTGTGCCTGCTGAACAGCTCCACCCACTGCTCCCCGCTGCCCGCCAGCCAGTTGGCCAGCCGCAGCCGCTGCCAGCTGAGCACGCAGGCCGGGGTGAGCGGCGCGAAGGCGGAGCCCACGTAGATGTGGTTGGTGGTCTCCAGCACCGCCAGACCGCTGCTGAGCAGGTAGAAGTCGTCGTCGCTGAACAGCTCGCCTGGGGACAAGGGGAGGGGCGGGGGAGGGGCGGGAGGAGGGGGTGAGTGGAGGCGCCGGAAGGGGCGGGGTAAGCGAACACAGGGGTTGATGCGAGGAAGAGGAGAAAGGAAGCGGTTGAGGTTACCGTAGGGAGCGAACAGGGGAGTCCATGTTTAGGGTAGCAAAACAACAGGGAGCCAGGGGGGGGGAGAAGAAAACCCCATGTGTTGGTGATCATGACAAGGTGAGGAGCAAGGTGAGGTGCAAGGGGTGCCATCCCCTCCCCACCACCACATGGTTTGCTCACATGTTGCAAACCATGTTGACGCCTTATCACACCGTCAGTTCGTTGTTTCCTCTTTAACCCCCACCCCTTCCCCCCCACCCACCCGGGTAGCTGCTGAAGGACACGCTGCGAGCCGCCAGGCTGCCCTCCGCCAGCCCCTGCCAGCTGACGTGCTTGTAGATGCGCGTCATGGCGGTGAAGGAGTCGTGCGTGGAGTGCCCCAGCAGCAGATCACCCAGGTCGCCAGTCACCTTGAGCAGCGCGGAACACTTGCCTGGGGGGAGGGAGGGGGGGAAGGGGCGTTGGGTGGGCAGGGGCGGGAGGGGCGGGAGGGGCGGCGTTGGGTGGGCCGGCAGGGGGCACTGCTAGGGCCCGGGCGCCCCCATAGGCATGCATGCAGGCAGGCAGAGGGAGGTGCGAAACACCCAACACCTAGAGCGCTAAACCATCAACCCACCTCTCCTCCCCTCCTCCCCACCCCCCATCCCACCCCACCCACCCTGCAGCCCCAGCTTGAGTGACATGCGCAGCGGGTCGGGGTCCACTGCGGCGCCCCGGGGCACCGACCGCCGCTGCAGCCGCCGCTTGGAGGAGGCGGAGGAGGAGGAGGAGGAGGAGGGGGCAGCGGTGTCAGTGGTGTTGCCGTACCCCGCCTCCATGGCGTCGATGATGTCGTACACATCACCTGGGGGGGAAGGGGGGAGCGAGGGAGGAGGGGGAGAGGAGGCAGGAAGGAGGAATTGTTAGGTGAGTGGTCGTCCCTGCATGTCCATAGCGGCCTGAGCACACCTCCCCAGAGGCAACTCAGGCAGGGTTAAGGGTTTCCTGGGGTTTCCCCAGGGGCCTAGTGGCCCCGGTGCGCACCCCCGGGGCACCCCCGGTACCGGCCTCCCGCCCCTGTGCCGCACATCAACCCCACACTCCAGGTCCCCTCTCGCCCCATGTACCACCCACCTCCCTCACCCCACCCCCTCACCATTGCCGTTGAGGAACATGAGATCCCGCCGCTCCAACCACCCCACCGCCACATCACCACCACCGCTGCCACTGCCGCCAGCCCCCATCTTCCGCCCCGTCTGCCCCCCCTGCCCCTGCTCCCTCCTCGCCGCCGCCTGGTATCCCGCCACCAGTCCGTTGAACTGCTGCTGCAGCCAGCCCAGCAGGCGCCAGTAGGGGTCGGAGGGGGGAGCGGAGGCCACACGGGCGGCAGCCCACTGCTCCTGCTCCTCAAGCCTGGGGGGAGGAGGGGGGGAAGGAGAGGGGAGGAGGGGGGGAAGGAGAGGGGAGGAGGGGAGGAGGAGGACAGGGTTGGCTCGGTCACCTAACCTCATCGTTCCCAGATGGCTTCTGTGTTAACTGCTGCCTTCCCACCAACCTACCTACCTCCGCTAATCGGGTTTGGTTCCTATCCCTCCCGCCATAACCTCCTCCCTCCGGTCTTATCTTCTCCTTCCCGTCTCTTTCCCTCATCTTCTTTTGTTTCCTCATACAGCTCGTACCGTATCCCCCTAGTTCCCTCCTCCTCCTCCCCCTCCTCCCTGCTCACCAGTCCAGCGCCAGCTCCAGCGCCGCCGACTCGTTGAGCATGGTGTCGAAGTAGGACCGCAGGTTGAAGTGGTGGTCGTAGATGCGGGCTGGGAGGAGGGAGGCAGGGAGGCAGGGAGGCGGCGAGTGTGAGTGAGAGTTAGGAGTTGAGTGCAAACATGCCCTTATGCCGCACGGGCTGCCGGCCTTTCTTGGCGCGGCCTATTAAGCTGGTAGCTGACGTCGCAGGGAGAGCGATCTCAAGGGTGTGTGCTCAGAAGGTTTTGGACAGGGTGAAGCTTGGGGCGCAATGGGCGCATTGCGCACCTGCGGTAAGGTAGCCCTCAATGAAGCCAGCCGCGTAGACCTGGTCTGCATCGCTATAGTCGCCGCCTGTAACTATTCGGAGCTTCCCGAAGTTGCTGGCTGTGTACGCGGAGTCGACGAATGTGGCGCTGGCCGCGCATTGCGGGCCGGCGTCATCGACAACGGACCAGCTGCCGTCGCTGGCTTTAATCGCACAACCGCGTACTACATGGGCGTTCCTTTCTATTTCGCGGCATGTTTCGTGGATGGACGTAAAGCCCTGGGGTGTTGTATCTACAGCATCCACTGCTTGGCTTGCGAAAAGAATTGCAGAAAGAATTACTCCCGCTATGACGATGGACTGCGAATTGTGATGGAATGCCATTTTGGCCCCAATCGACGCCTCGGCAGGTAAGGTTCAGGACTCCAAGCAAAGACCTAGTTCACCGCCGCCAACCGTATCGACAATTCAAGCAACAAGGGAGTGATTTACGAGATATAAAGCCACTAACCTATACGGCTTGGCCAACGTGCCGGCAAGGCCGGACGTTGAGGTGTCAAAAGGCGTGATGCGAGCGACGGCTAATCGCTCGTAAAAAATAGTTATGACTGCCAGCTTTGTATTCAACGTTATTCCTATCTGAGCATGTTATGCGCCCCGGGCCACGGAATATTGGAAAAGGTCACGGCCACTGGTGGTGACTGTTGTACGGCAGCGGCTACGTTGCCCTTTATTACGTTGGCGCATACTAACTCACGAGCCCGAAGGGTTCTGAACCATGGTTAAAGTTACACGAGGAACCGATGCAAGTTAGTACGGTTTCCCCCAGCTCATGTCGGAAAGGAAAGGGCAAAATCTGCAGGTATGGTACAGCAGGGGCACAGTACGATAGGACAAAAGACAAATCATGTACACCACCTTTGATACACAGGCCTCCTTACACCTGCATTGACCCCTGGGCCCACCACAACATGGCAGACCTCTAAAACACACTTCATACGCACAGCAGGTTAACTCAATTTGAACCACTACTATGAACAAGACACATGACCCTACCCCTGCATGGAACAGAGAATGAACCATGCACAATGACTGTCAGTAGCATATCATGTATCTATAAAACCGGAGAAAGAAGCCTGCATCAAACTACATCCCAAGCCATGGGTAATTTATCCATCATCAGTACCTTGCGTATGATGGCTTCTACCCCTCACCACACACCGCATCCATCAAAAGGGCCAGCTGGCTATTGAACGAATGACTGTTTCATTCAATGGAATTTAAACTGTATGTACCTGTTTTCACATTCTGCCATGTGTTCGGACGTCCACTGGCATCAGGGTATTGACTGGGCTTTGCCAGTTGGCCACGTGTGTTCACTGACCCCACTGAACATGGGGAATCGGTGGCACATCATTTTTACTATTGCAGGAAAAAATGTATTTTTGGAAAAATGAATTTAGATGACAACCGAAAGACCTTGCAGGTGGCGGTTTTGGCGGTTCTGGAGTCCGCGGGCAACTTCACCATAGGACACAGCCATATATATACTAAATTAAGCGTACACTAAAGAACTCAACGAGAGCATTCCAATTCCGTCTTCAGAATTGTAATCGGAGTTTTATGGAAAAGTTTATAGGCTCTTAAAGCTGCAAGCCAACTGGGGGGCTGGTCGTACGGCAGGGGTGGGTGGGTGGGTCCGGGCTCCGGGGCTCCAACAACTTTTTTCTTTGACCTTGGAAACTTTCTTCCTAGGTATTGTTTCGCCAAACGGATAGCAAATATAGTACTCCTGTTATAGTGTATACATATAATGTTATTCTGCAAAGCAAGCAGCAGGGACAGGGGCTAAGGTGGAAGAGGCCCAAAGAGGATTCAAACGAATAGTTAGGTTAAGGTTGAGGGGAGAGGGCACACAACAGGCGTACTGTTGACACACCCATGGCTGAGGGAGGAGGCGCTGAACTCCCACACCGGGGCAGGGGGAAAAATGCGTGGTTCCGCATCTGGTGTTGTGGGCGGTGGGGTGGAAGCCTAACCTGCTACCCGGGGGAGAGGCTGCAGCCGTACTGTGGGGTAATGTGAGGGAGACAGTGGCAAGTAGGCTGGAGCACACTTACCAAGGCAACCGTGCACTTAAGCATTACAGCAATGCATGTGAGGTTCAAAAGTGACATGTGTCAGCTGTATACCAGTTAGCATTGAATCTGGCGGCCTGCCTGGGGCCTCCCCCTGTGCGGCGAGTGACTCGGACTTGTTGCCAAATGGTATGCCTAACGTAAGAATGACAAAGATCTTGTAAAATGGAGTCGAATGGTACTTGGGCGATTTTGCAAAGTTTACAGCATTGTCATACAGCAAAAACGGTACGGCAGGGTGGGTGGGTCCGGCATTCCTTTCTTGACTTTTTTAGCATGGGGTTTGTCAAAGACTTTTTCACCCCCTCCCTGCACCGCCCAAAAATACTTTCCAATTAAGCATGCCTTGCATGACCGCTCTCTTCAGCCGCATAACCACAGCATGGAGACATCGGCACAGCCTAGAATCACAAAGGCTTTTGCCACAACCACCCCGTACAATTCCGAACCTTGTGACAGCCTGTGTGTGTCATACCTACCGTTCATTTGTAGATAGTGTAGACTGGAGATGAGTAGACCCCATTACAGATCCATACCGCCTACTCCTCACCAAACAGTCTGGCAACTGCAACCAGGCGTCAAACGGCACCTGACGTACGGCAGACTTGGAAAGCGCCAAGCACGGCCCCGATCAGGTTTCATGAAACGGCTGCCATAAGGCCCACAATGGGCCGTGTGGCTGCCCACGCCGCAACCCAGCAGCACAGGGCCCACGCAGGAGACAGTACAGGGTGTCTCCATGGCAGGTGCTAGGCATGTTGATTGAAAAGATAAAGGCATCATGCTGTGCACTATGCGTGTTGCATAGTCAGCTGAGGACAGGGCTCGGGGAGGTGCGGGGCTGGGGCTGCTGGTGAGGGTGACTGCTCGGCCTGCCGTTCTTGCTGTTTCCTTTCCTTGTTACGGTGTTTCATGCTGTTGTGCCTACGGAAAGCTCGAGTGCAACACGCGAGCTGATGACAAGGGCATGTAGTGTGGATGTGTTACAATTACTTGAGGGATGAATATGAACAGGCACACAACTTATACGGACTAGCTACCGGCAGATAGCTCCTAAGCCATCCTGGGCCCCCATCGTGCAGCCGATGTCTCGCAGTCTTGCGTCAGTGAGGCCGGAGCTTTGTACGGCCTAGCCTTTGTACGGCAACGCTACGGCAACGAAGAAGGTTGCCGGATGAATCCCGAAAGAGAGATGCACACAGATCATGGTCAACAGCAAAACGCTTCTTTCACAGCTTACTTAATGCCTTTACTCGTCCGAAAACCCAACAAACATCCATACCAGTACCCGCGTGCAGCACGGAAAAGCACAAACACTCACGTTCCCAGCTCCATTCCCGCAGCTTGACTATCTAGAGCAACAGAGCAGAGTGAGCCGGTGTCGTGTAGATCCGCTGAGTGCGTGTGCGCCCCGGACCGCCCTTTCCTCCAAGACAGCTAGCATGCAGACCTAACATAGCCCTCCGCCAAACACAGACGTGACGTGGAATGTGCGACATGCTACCATCACCAACGATGGTTCCTAACTGAAACCGAAAAGACATGACAAGAGTTAAGCTCTTAAGCCGTATAAGCATGGATGATGTGGAAAGAGCCGCCCTCGAATCCAGACAGCAACGGGTGGGTGGGCATGCACGAACCAACCACGACTCGGGTTGCCCAACACACGACGTTCAACCATAACCAGGTCTAGCAGGCGAGGCAAAGCGGTGCCCCGCGCCACTACTGGCCCGTAGGGCACAACTCTCTGTTTAAGCATGCACGTGCACAGACAGATACAGACTCCCCCGCCGTACAACCAACAGGGGTGGACGGCGCCCGATAGGGGGCGGACAAGCCTAACGCCGCCCCTGGGTTTGAACCAGACCTTGTCCCTGACAAAGCACCCTTACTTGGCGAACCGAACATCGATATCCAACAAGTTTCACAACTAACAAGGCATATCAAGATGGGTGCAGCCTACGGGCAGAAACCAACAAGGGTTTTCATCAACCTAATCTCCTTCACTTCTTCATGGCTGCCTAACGACGGCGGACCGATGAGACTGCTAAACAAGGCAGGATCAAGCGCGGGCAGTTCGCACCGCTGTTAAGAAGAGAAGCTGACAAGCCGAGACGTACACTTGGGGGATGAGGGGCTCTTAAACGGAGCGGCCGGCTGCCTTGCCGGCTGCGACACGAGTATTAGCTAACCTTGCTGCGATTAACTCTTAACACTTGGCGGGAAGGGAGAAAGCCGCCAACACCGCCATCCAGCACACCAGCAGCCAACTTTTCCAAAAGAAACTCCAACACTGGAGACATTCACACATAGTTGCTGGAAGGGACGCAGAAGCTTGCTCTCGCACTTCGCAGCGGTAGACACAGCACACAGCTGAAAGCAGTTTGGTGGCAGCAACGACACAACAACGAGTTTATAAACGGTAGCAAGGCAGCCATCTTTGCAAGCACACAGATACGCGCATGCGTTACGCCGCAAGCTTGTGAATCCCGGATGCGCTTGAATCCCGCAAAAGCCCGAGAGTTTGTGCTGGCCGACAGACCACAAATGCGCCTTCTGGCAACAGATGCGTCCCGCCGCGTGTCTTGCACAGAAATTAGCCCACATTCGTTCACATATATGGAACCCCATTGTTGCAGCCTCCCGGCACGCACCCAAACAATTCCACCAAATCCCCCGCACCGTCTCTTGGAGATCCCTACAACCCATCCATGTGCCAGCCTAGGCTGTAAGCAGCCTGCCAAACAGCAGCACGGGCATCACGGTGCCTACCAGCGAATGCCCGGCTTTGCCTCGGGGCGCTACCTGCTGACAAACCAGCAAGCGCAACGCAGCACAACCAACCAACACAACTGCACTCCTCCCGTATGTTGGACGGACGCGGCGGCCCCCCAAGACGCTCTTGCGCCCGCGGCATGCTGGTACGGCGCACCGTACGGCAGCAACAAGCAACATGCATGCACATGCGCGCATTCCCAGCATCCCCCAGGAGCTTTGGCATTGCGTGGGGAACCGGTGTTTGCAGGTACAGTATTCCCGAACTGAGCAGTCGAAATCCGGATAACTGCACGACGTGCCTTATTATGCCACTATAAGGCGGTGCCCCGGCCTTAGGCCTTAGGCGGGGGCGGCCAAACGCCCCCTAGTATTTCCGCCCGCCTAGCCACACGGCTTCCTACGTAATTGTCACTCTTCTTCTCATGATGATGCGGCAAACAAGTACGGAAAGACGAGCACAGGGTAGCACGGAACTCGTTCTTACGAAACAACATCGCCACTCGGGGGCCGATGCCCGGAAGTACCCGACGAGAGGCAAATGACAGCTGCGACGACCCGACAAAGCCCTAGTCAAAACTTGCGGTCATCGCGTGTGTGGGAAGTGTTAACCCTCGACCCTCACAGCATAACGCTTTTCTTACACACACACACATGGTCTCTCGCCCTCTCCTACCGTGCTCAACGTCCAAGTCAACTGACATGCAACACACATCACATCGCACAACCCCACGCACGAAACACCTCAACCCTACTACAGCCGATGCGCAAGCTCCCGCTCCCTGCCCCACCACTGAATTCCCCTCCTGCAACCCCAGTGTGCCAGCACAGTCCATGTACTAGCGCGGATACAAGTGTACCAGTATTACGTGCCCGCGGTAGTTCACATCAGGCCACCCCAGATCCCACAGCAGAAGCGGCATGAGAAGACAACCCATACACACACACACACACCGCACCGCACCGCACCGCAGCACAGCTCCTAAGCTTCCCGGTGCCGCGCGGGGCAGCTTGCGCCTCGTACCCCTTCCCCACCTGCCGCCTGCTCGCTACCTTCAGGTGCATACCCTACCGGCCCTCAATACGACAGCAACCCAACAGCCACTGCTGTGACCGAGCCCGAATGAGAATGAGAAGACGCTAATGCATTGTAACACGCCGCACAGAAACCGTCCGGCCGACGGTTCTATAGCGCTGTATTTATTGTGGTGCCCCTATCTTTGAGCGCAATGCATCGTAGTGTGCCCGTAGAGCCTCCTTTGCACGGATATTAGAAAGCACCTTACTTGAGCATTTTCTTATGTATATGGCGTTGTGCTAACTGCAGCAGCAGCAGCAGCGGCAGCAGCAGCGACAACACCACCTCCTGCACGGAAAGGACCCCGCCAGGCCCCAACCAAGCAACGTGTGCCCCCCGCAGTGACAACATACTACTAAGTAAAGATACAGGTGTAAGACAGGGGCCGCACCACCACCACCACCACAACAACAACAACGACCATAAGCCAGCGGCCTCGCGTGCCCCTTAAAACGCACGAGTTCGATTTTTAATGTCATCCGTCACACAGCCATGACTGCGTGACCCTTCTTGGAAACCACAGAACCACATATGTCCTACCACCCGTGCTTTTGACCATGAGTCCGTCTCTTTAATGAGCCATCATGCAGCCGCGCTTTCCATTCTTTCTTCTCCATTCCAGCTCAATGCTTAACTCCACCTTATTACCACCGCCCAACTTACTCGGCAGACCGCCCCACTTCACCAAGTACAATAGCCCTGCAGCCCATCAACCGGTTAGCCAGCCTAGCCCAGCCCCTTCAGCCGGCTGCTTCCTGCCGTTCCAAAAGCCCAGCGGCTCACGCGCGCCCCCCGCCGCTGCCGGCCCCCACCGCAGGGCGGTACTGGTCCGCCAGGATGGAGTCCAGCAGGCTGAGCTGCGCGGGGGAGAACTGGCTGCGATCCGTGCCGTACATTATGGGCCGGTCCAACACCGACAACCGCGGCTGCTGGGGTTGCTGGGGCTGGGTCTGCTGTCGTGGGGCGCATGTTGCAGCAGCAGCAGCCGCAGCAGCCGCAGCACTACCTCCCGAGGGGGTCATGGAGTCGGCCGCGGACTCGTCCTCGCAGGCGGCCTGCAAGCGGAGCGGGTCGGAGCGGAGAGGAGCGGAGAGGTGGGGTCAGAGGCAGTCAGGGGCGGCCGCAGGAGGCAAAAGACAGCGCATGCCGGCTGAAGCGCATGTAGGAGAGCTGCAGGTGCATGGTCACCCAGAACTCACTGGTTAACATCTCTGTAACATCTCAGCGGCAAGCGCCACGCACAGTCAGTCGCGCTTTGCTGCATGAGCCGCCCGTAACCCTCATCTTGTGCGGTACTACCGGTATAAAGGTACCCGCACCCGCAGCTCCCACACTCACCACATGTCCCGCCGCCCCGGCTGCTGCCGCCCCCGGCTGCTGCTGCGGCTGCATCGTAGCCAGGTCGTCAAAGCCCAACGCAGCCAGATCCGCATCCGTGATGCCGCAATCTCCGCCGGTCGACGGCGACACCGGCAAGCAGGCAGCCCCATAGCCGCCCGCACCCGCCCCCGCAGCAGCTGCTGGTGCGGGTGCGGGTGCCGCTACCGGCGAGGGGGCTGCATGGGCCGGCAGCGCGCCGCTGCCGCAGCTGGCCTGCAGGGGCCCCGGTGCCGCCGCTGCTGCCGCCCAGCCTCCCTCCAGCACACTGCTGCTCTGACTCCTCCTCAGGAACAGCTGCTGCTGCTGCTGTTCGTACAAGTTGGTGCTGCTGCTGCCGGAACCCAGGTAGCAGCCGGCGGCGGCTGCACTACTGCCCATTGACGAGGGGAAGCGCGAGCCTGGGGCGCCCCAAGCACCCCCACCCACCGCACCCGCACCCCCACCCTCAGCTACCTCCGCTGCGAGGCAGGAGCGCCCCGAAGGCGCTGACCCCGGCAGCAGCATCAGGTACTCGGGCGAGCAGCCGCCATGCTCGTGCACCGCAGTCGCCTCCTCATCAATCCGCTGCATGTGCGGAGCGATGGGGCGAGGCAGCGACCCAACCACCGCTCCCGCTGCTCCTTGCCCCGGGTACTGCTGCTGCTGCTGCTGGTGTTGCTGCTGGTGCTGCTGCTGGTGTTGCTGCTGGTGCTGCTGCTGGTGTTGCTGCTGTTGGTACTGGTACTGCATGTATTGGTGCTGCATGTGCTGGGTGGCGCCGGGGCCGCAAATGTCCATGAGCGCGTCGCTGCTGCAGGCCTTGGCGAAGCGCCCACGCACCCTGGGTCGCGACTCCGCCAGCTGCTTGCGGCACTCGTAGCGCACCTTCTTGGCGCTCTCCGCCAGGGCGCGCAGGCGCATCATGCGCTTCTGCCTGGGGGGGGATGTGGGTGTGGGTGGATATTGAAGGCGTCGGAATGGGGGACGGATGAGGGAGGGGGGAGGGAGGGTGCTGGGGTACGGGGGCCAGGCGGCGTGTGGGAGAGTCTGGGCGCTCGGCGCGGTTCCTGTACCTGGTAGACATGCAAGATGCAAAACTGATGTCTCTATGTCCTCTCCAGCCCGCTCCTCCTTCTTCTCCTCCTCCTCACCTGTACCTGTTCAACTGCGCCAACCGCTCCGGCTCCCCCATCTCCCGCATCAGCAGCAGCTCCTCAAGCATCGCCCGCTCCGCATCGCCTCCACCCGGGCCACCCGCCTCCGCAGCCGCCAGGGGGTCGCCGCCGCCTCCGTCGCTGCTGACCCGCATGAGCAACCGCGACTCGCTCAGGTCACAGGAGCCGCCCCGGCTGCCGCCGCCGCGACTGAGGCTCAGGCTGAGGCTGGCGGCGAGGCCCAACGCTGGCGGGGCGCTGCCCGGAAGCACCATTCCGGCGGCGGCGCCGGCGGCGTTGCCGGGTTGGCCGCAGCCGTACACACCTGCCGCCGCCGCCGCGGCCGCAAGCGACAGTGGCTGGGAGGAGGAGGCGCCGGCGAGGGCGGTGTTAGCGGTGGTGGCGGAGGTGGTGGTGGTGGTGGAAGCGGAGTTGCAGTGAGAAGGGGAGCCCAGGGAAACCGATCCGCCGCTGCCTGGCGCGGCATCCAAACCACTGCTAGGGAGTGCTGCGGCCGCAGCAGCGGCAGTAGCAGGAGGTCCTGCTGGAGCAGCCATGGCGCCGGCTGCTCCCGCCGCCGCGCCCGTGGGTACTGGCGGAAGCGTCGTGGGGAAGGCGTTGCTGCCGGCGGGGCCGGGAACGGCGGCGGCGATGCTACTCGGCGGGGCGGCGGCGGGGTTCGTGGAGAGTCCTGACAGGTTGTCCAGCAGGAGACAGCTGTTGGAGGCGGTTGCGGAGGCGGGTGCCAGAGATGAAGCTAAAGACAGGCCGCGGATGCCGATGCCGGGGTCGGAGATGCCTAGGCCGGCCAGGAAGGCGGCATCGCGGCGAGCGGCTGCGGCCACAGCAAGGGCTGCAGCGGAGGTGGCCGCTGCGCCACCGCTACCGCTGTTACCGCCGCCACTAGCAGCGCTGATGATGCCGATGGGAGCGGAACGAGCCAGCGCCAGGTCATCCGTGAGAGAGCGCTGCAGGAACTGATGCTGTTGTTGTTGCTGCTGTTGCTGGAATGCGAGGGCAGCTGCGTGTTGTTGTTGCTGCTGCTGTTGCAGGGCCTGTAGCGCAACCGCTTGCTGCTGTTGCAGCTGCAGCTGAAGTTGCTGCTGCTGGAGTTGTTGCCAGTGAGCTGACTGCAGGTCGGGCCCGCTGCCGGCGACCGCGGCCGGCAGTCCGAAGCCGTAACTCGCAGGCACGCCAACAGCCATGCCACACGTCGTCGCACCGGCTGCGGTGACAGCAGCCGCAGCAGCAAGCGCACCAGCTGGCAGGCCCGTCAGTGTTATGGGAAGCGAGTAACCGCCAAAGTTGGGCATCATCTGCTGTTGCTGCTGCATAAACGGTTGCTGCTGTGGTGGCTGCTGTGAAAACGGTTGCTGCTGTGGTACCTGGGGTTGCTGCTGCTGCTGATCAAGCGACTGCATGAGCAGGGTATTGGTGCTTCGAGCGGAGCCCAGCTGGGGTGCATCCGGGTGGCTGCTTGAAAGCTGGCCGCTCTGAGACAGGCAGGAGTGCCCGCTGAGGGAGCGCATGGGCAGGCCCGCCTGGTGGTGGCGCTGCGAGGGAACAGCCATGGGCTCGGAACAGGGCAGGCCGAAGGGGCCCGCTGCGGGCATGGGGCTGTCAGTCGCGGTTGCCGCTGAGCCGCTGCCTGAGAGCAGCTGTTGCTGTTGCTGCTGCTCGTGTTGCTGCGTGGAATGCAACAGCTGCGCCTGCTGCTGCTGTTGCTGTTGTTGCAGCAGGAGTTGCTGTTGCTCCTGTGCTTGCAGCTGTGCCGAGATGGAGGGCCAAGCCTGCTGCTGCACCTGCGCCTGCTGTTGCTGCTGTTGCACGGCCTGTTGCTCTGGCTGCTGCGGCTGCGGCTGAGCAGACGCCACTTGCTGCTGCTGTGGCCCTGTCCCCATGTCCGTCTCGTCTGCCTTGTCCCTCTGCTGCTGCTGCTGCGCGCCTCCTCCTCCCCCTGCCAGTGCCGTACCAAAGGTGTCCAGCAGCATGGCCACATCCATGCTGTCTACCGCATCCATCAGTTCCTGGCTGGTAGCCCGCTGCAGAGACTGCTGCGAGGGATGCGACGGCAGCACCGCCTGCTGCTGCTGCTGCGGGTTGGGCTGCAGGGCTTGTTGGTGCAACTGCGTGCAAGACGCGGAGGTCGGGAAGGAGTGCGTCTGACCGCTGGCTGGCAGCACCCAGCTCTCACCTGCGGGTTGCTGGGGCTGCTGAGAGCAGACAGCAGAGGCTGGAGGGGCGGCCGCGGTGCCGTACAAGTTGCTGCTGCAATGTGAAAAGGGAGACACGCCGAGCTGTTGGTGCTGCTGGGCGCCGGGGTGGTTAGCGTCGGTGTGGTCGGATCCGGGAGACAGGGGCAGTTCGCTGCCGCTGGGTTGTTGTTGGATGGGCTGCGGCTGTGAGGAAGCGGCTGCAGCCTGCATGCAAGTGGAGGCGGCGTGAGGCCAGGAGCTGCTTGCCTGCTGGGGCGCTGGAGCTGGCGCAGAGCCGTGGAGGGAAGCGGCGGCCGCGGCTGGAGGAGCGGCGGTGGTATGCTGGGTTGCTGAGGTGTCGGATTGGGGAGTTTCCATGCTGGGATGAGCGGCTGGCCAGCAAGGAGTGGCGCCATCGAAGATGTCCAGTTGAAGGTTCCTTGTTAGGCAAGCCGCCAAAGGCATGTCCAGTAACCGCCCTCTCGACTTGGCTTCGCGATAAGCCCAAACTGGGCATGATTGACATGGAACCCTGACGTGCCGTTGGGCGAGCTGCAGGGAGATAGTGCATGGGCATTTCGCTCAAGGGCCGGGCCAGGAAGTGCACAAACATGCCATGCTGCCGGCTGTCATATGTGACAAGGTTTGCTGGGCTTTATACGATTTCCTGAAAAACGGGTGCCAGCCCATAGTCGCAAGCATTGTCGGACGTGCCGCTGGCTAGGTAGGCAAGCAGGGAAAATCTTTCTTGTAAGGCCTCTTCAGCAATGCCTATTGTGTTTCAGCCAAACTGGCGAAAGAAAATCGAGGTGCGATGCACGTGGTGTCACGGGCCTGCCGACAGGACGGGGCGCGCGCAAATTACGTTTCGCCGCCCCAAATACGCAACCCGCATCATATGGTAAAGCAATAGCTATACCTTATTGACGTTATGAACTTGCGCGTCACATTGAGGGCATAGGAAAGCGCCTGCGAGGCAGTAGAAAAGCAGCCATATTATCACCAGGCGGCGCATACCGGCTCGCTGACAGGGTATTGTGCGAAACTGCATTGCAGGTCGCTTCAATGGGTGCGACGTACCATCAGAGTGGCAAAAGACGTTTGCGAGCTTAGCATCACAGTGGTCACAGACCACCTTAAAAGTAGATGAGTCCATTGCGCCAACAATTCCAGTATAATCGCCAAAGCGGTTGGCGACAAGCAATTGGCGCTAGCGTCCTTGGGGAAAAAGCAGAGTCGTGTGCCGGGTTGCTCAAAGCACGCCGGCACCTTTCGGAGGTCTTACAAAATTATATCCTAGCAACTATCAAACAAAGTGCGCTAGCATCTAGCTGATCTGACCGGTTGCCACGAGTTGAGTCTGTTACTCACATGTGTTGTTCACATGACATGTACGACGCCTTGGTGAATGCCGTCTCCAGGGAGGCCAAAAGGAAAATGCTTGGACGCATTGAAGCCAACCCATCTTCGCCAATTGTGCTGGTTACCCTTTGATGTGGGAAGACTTTTGTAGCTGCTGTCGATCTATTGGTACGCCCACTGCCTCTTAGTAACACGTACACATGGTACAAAACAAGTGCTCACTCCTGACAGCTTGCAATATTTCATCTGGGAAGCTAAGGAAATGTTTATTTAAATGCATTAAGTGGAAGGCGCAATGAGGCACACTCCAGTTGGTACCGGTATACCGGTACTCACCTGTGATGGCGTTCTGAATTGGCCAGCACACCATCTCTTTCGAAAGCAACACTGGCGAAACATTCATTGTACAAAACCTGAATACTTTGAAAGTCGCACTTTATCGGTCACCTCCTGTGCCTGAACTCTCCCAAGAAACAATACCCAGGTGCTCCTTCCCAGCTCGTCCAAACAGGAGCCGTCCAAAAGGGATCCCCGGTTCTGACGCCCGTCACCCCAATGTGAAAGGCCCAAGGTGGGCCAAGCTTTGCTCCAGAGCTGCACTCCCGATTCTCCTTTCCCACGATAAGCGCGGTTGGGTTATGGCGCGGTGTCGCTTATGCAGAGGAAGCTGTTCAGCAACTTACATGGAGGATAGGCACCTTCGTCAGGCAGCAATTACTACGGTGTCGCTTACAGAGACGCATGTCCATGCAGGTCTCATGGGACTATCGAAAAGCCCGCCTGTCGAGGAGGCCAGAGTCCTACGAATGCAGCCGCCTATGTAAAAGAATAGTAGCGCACAAAACACCCAACAATACTGGAACAATGACAACACTACACATACAGCACAGTCATTCAATGCGGAGTGGCTGCGTACACACGAACTCTGTGTGCAAATCCTCTCAGCAAAACCCCACTGCTGCGGACACCCAAACATTTCCCAAGTAAATGCATCGCACGTTCCCAGCCTTGCCGTATCAAATGTCGCAAAGCCGCCTAAACAGCTGCTGTATACCTCAACCATGCCCCTCTAGTCGTAATGTGCATCTAGATTTCTTCTCGGCTCCCAGCGGAAAAACACTGCACCCGCTTCCGCCGCTATTTACTCCACTCCCTAATCAACACATCAACACCCTCGCCACGTGCAAAGCACGTATAGCCAGCCGCAGCGAGTTAAATTGGAATGGGACTGAAATTGCTTGAATCGTATCCGCATGCCCCTACCACAGCATAGCAACACTCCACAAAGCATGTCAACATGTTCTGCCGCAACAGTTCAAGCCCCAAAAGCCTCACCAGGCGTGAAGCTATCCTCGTGCCTGGACCACGGGCCGTTAAGCCCCTGTTCATGTTCAATGCAACAAAGAGGTGATAAGCTCCCATGATGCATCCCGCGGCTACCATAGCTGCACGAGGGGCAGCTACTAGGCGAAAGGGTCCAGCCAGCGTTGCAACCATCAGCGTTCAGCGCTGGTCTTACTGCACGCTACGGGGGAAGGACTCCTTCAACCTACCACCAGCAGGTTTATTATCGGTGGCACCACACCAAGTGCGTGCCTCTGCGCCTTGTGCGCTCGGTGAAGGTGTTATGAAACGTACATATCAGCAGTTCAGCATCCGCAGCAGTACAGGCCATCATGCTACGTCACAAGGTGCCTCCAAGTCTCCGCCGCCGTCGTCCTCGTCCTTGCCGCGTCCAACACAGTACCCCATCATGTCTGATACTAGCTAGCACATACACAGGCAAGGGCCCCGCTCCCTGCCCCCAGCCCCATCACTCACTCCTCACCGCGGCCCCTTTTCACGCGCACACCGTGCTCACACCCGCCTCCCGCTCCGTCGGCCGCCCCCAGCCCCGCACCCTGTCCGCAGCGCCCCCAAACACCGCCTCCCCCACCGAGCCATACCTGCCCGACCACTGCTGCCCCATCCCCAGCAGCTGCCGCATGTACGGCGACGACCCCCCGACCACACCCAGACCCCCCTCAACACCGCATGCCGTCACCTGCTGCCCCAGCCCCAGCCCCACTCCCGCTGCTCCTCCTCCTCCTCCCACCGCCGCCACCGCCGGCGCCTGGGGTGCTGACACCTCCTGCATGGCCCAGCTGCGGTGCTGCAGTCCCTGCCTGAACTTCAGTCGCTCCCAGGCCGCCGCCATGGCGCCCCCGCTGCGCCGCCGCTGCTGCCGCAGCCGCTCCGCCAGCAGCAGGTCAGCCGGGTCAAACTGGTCCAGCGAGCTGACCCCGGCGGGGGCGGGCGGCTCCTCCTCGGGCCCGGGGTCGGGCAGCCCTGCTCGCCGCGCGTCCAGCCGTGCGGCCAGGTGCTGCAGGCGGTGCGCCACGCGGGCCGCCACCGCCGTGTGCAGGCGGTCCTCCGACCAGCCCTCCTGCCGCGCGGCTGCCAGCAGGTCACCCACGGGGATGGGCTTCCCCACCAGCACGTCCACCTGGGGGCGGGAGGGAGGCAGGCAGGGAGGGCGGCGGCAGCGGAGGGACGAGGGTCAGTCCGTGTGCGACGCAATGAATAGGCGCCAATCGTTAGTTGCACATCCCCGTTGTCCCGTCAAAACCCACCAGGGCTCAGATTCACCAAATCCAGTTACAGGCAGGCCCTGCAAGCCGGTGTCCCACTCTCCCGCCCCCACCTGCTGTCCGGTGGCGGGCAGCACCGCCCCCCGCGGCATGACGCCCTCCATGCCCCGGTGCACGAACGGCAGCACCAGCGGCGGCGGGCTGCCCTCGGGCACGGACGCCACCAGCCGCCCCACGCCCTTGCGCACCGCCCCCAGCTTCACGCCGTCAGGGGAGCGGGTGCCCTCGGGGAAGATGTGCACCCAGTCGCCGGCCGCCAGCCGCGCCTCCGCCGCCGCCATGCCCGGCTGCGTCATGCCGCCGCCGCGCACCACTGGCAGCACCTTGGCGGCGCGGAAGAAGGGCACGAAGGCAGCGTAGCGGAAGCAGCGGTCCGAGGCGCAGAGGGTCCACCTGTGGGTGAAAGGGGGGAGGTCACGCGAGTGGTAATGGGAGGTTGGGGAAGGGAGAGCCAGGTAGCACAACTGAATGGAGGGTCTGGGCAGCGCAGGTCCCCGTGCGACGGGGGTTTTAATCAGCATCAGCAGTGTATTGGGTCGAACTTGCAGGGTGCCGTACCACAGCATTCCATATCAGGAAACGCCCAATTTCCCGATCCAAGCCCGGTTCTACCTCAGCTTATCCGGCTGCTCCAGGGTGCCCTCCGGCAGCAGCGTGGTGACCACCAGCGGGTCGTCCAGCGCCGCCACGTGGTTTGACACGGTGATTAGCGCCTGACCCGCGGGTCGCTGCAGCGCCGCAGACATGTGGTCCAGCCCCTCCACGCTGGTGGAGTTGAGGCCGGTCATGTAGACGCGGGCCGCGCTTCCCACCAGGTACAGCACGGCGCGCTGCGGGAGGGCCGGGAGGAAGGGGAGTGTGCAGTGAGAGGAGGAGAAGGGTAGGGAGTGGAGGAAGAGAAAGGGGTCGGAGGCAGTTGGAGTACCAGGGCGTAGGGTTATATTGCTGCTTAAAAGACCACAAGTCAAGGACGGGTCACTGAAATAGTGGAGTGCAACCAGGATGGCAACCAGGAACCCTAAGGACGCGAGGGGGGCGGATACGAGCAGCCTCCAACAATTATGAGAAGAGTCATGCCCCTGGTTTTAGCGCAGTGTGGTGTTCATTAACTAGAGAGAGAAACACAACGCGGGTTGCTGGGCAAGGTCCTTCATTGCCCCAAAAGACGGTGCGCTATAGTGAGAAGCAAGGACCGGTCCCAAACGCTTACCCGAAGAAAGCCATCCGCCCCGTAAAGTTGTTGAAGCTCCTGGCCACTGCTGCCTGTGCTCGCTGTTACCACCGTTCGCGAAGATGATGCGCCTTCTGAGGCTTGCTCGAGAGACGAAGAAGTGCTCTGGTTTTGAACAGATCCATCTGAAGAGGCCGCTAACTGTGTCGTGCTGGTCCTGACGTTGTCTAGATAGGTGCCAAAACGCGACACCTTGGCATCAATCGCACGCCGCAGTCGCGCCTTAGCACGCTCCTTGCGGGCTTGGTAATATGCACGAAGCTCCGAAACGCTTACTGTTGTAGCTATCTGCCGCAGCCTAGCAAAGGAGTGCTCAAACGTCGCCTCCACGCATGCCCGTTCCACGTAATAATTCTGGGTGCACGCATCCCCGCTTTCACTGCGATGGTATGCTGCTGTTTTGCGCAGAAACTCCCTGTACTGGAGCTTCAAATGCTGAAGGTTCGAGTAGGGGGGCATCGTCGTAGCAGCCTCTGTCGCCCTGCTGTTTCGGTGCCCCCAGAACCCTTAACCCAAAGTATAGCAGATAGAAACTTGGTTTGCTCTGCTAAGCACCCACTTGAACAGGGCTATCCACCAGTCGTCGCGGCGAGTCCCAGGAGTTAAAGCAGCTAAGCAATAAACAAGAGGGCAGCGATCTAAACGAAGTTTATGTTACACAGTATACCTCATTACTGTTAAAGGAAGACCAGGAGGGCAGGAGCGTCTGCGATGACAACAAGCTATCGTACGGTATCGGAGCCTTTCTTAATCACCCACCGCCAAGCATTTGTTGCGCATTGTGCATGCAGAGTGTTCCAGTGCTAGTAGGTTTTACGTGACGGCTGGAACGTTTCTTTGACGTATTATATTCGTCCCCTTGAACACTGATTGCATACGGCGGGAGTCCAGTTGGTTACAGCTGCGTGGTATCCTTGCACCGACCGAGAGTTACTAGGTTGCCTGTCAGCTGTATATACTTCAAAGCGGTGGGCAGCTGGAGGTGAAGGAGAAGCAGGGACAGCGGTGAGGCTGTCAGGGCTGCTGCTCGCGGACTATCGGCCTGGTAGGATGCTTGGGCTGGATCCATCCCTTATACAGCTTCGAACGTCGGTCTTAACTACTGCTGCGAGCCGGGTTGACGGTTTGGGTGCACATGTCTATTATGGAAAACGTCGGGCACCCCTTGGCGAACGTAGCCTAGGCGCTAAGGACGCATAAAAAGGATGCCGGATGTCTTGTAGCTGCTACAACAAATGTTTTGCTTGGCCACTGGATGTTTTTGTATAGCCGGCGCCGAGGGCTTGCTCGACCGGTTGGACAACTTTCATACTAGCGCGAAACCAAGCGAACGTCTATTTCTCTACCGCCTGCAGGTTGTTGGACCTTCGTGTGCTTTGTGCAGTGCCTGGGCGACGAGCTGTCCTGTGACAAATGTCCCGAAGAGGTAACTGTGCTTGCAGCAGCCCCTGCGTCGCCTCTGGCCGGCAGTCGTTTTTCGGGCGACTCTGCAGATGTCTAACTGGAGTGGTACCCCACCTTTGACGTTGTTGCAGACGGCGGGCGGTGCCCTCTACTAGCATACAGGGCAGACGAGCCCCTACCCGCGCTACAAGATTGTTTTAATCGTGGAGAGCAATATGTAGAGGTATAGACAAGCCATCCACGTATGCTTTTTGCTCGCGGGATGAACTCGCCGACCCACGGTCCTTTGGGTCTTCGCCTTGCAGATTGCTATCGCTCCGGAGCACATGACGAAAGATAACAAGCGGGTAGGTCGGGCACCAATACGTGATACCACTAGCCAACGTTTGCCATCAATGATCTTCGGGTATGAAAGGGACATACTTTGACATGGGTCGAAGCATGCGTACGACAAGCCATGTGTGCGTGTTGTGTTGTGCGGAGGGTGGAAGCTGCCGTTTGACACGCACGCTTGGCTCGCCTCCCAGCGCAATACCCCTGTCAGCATGGGACCCTTCCTGCACCCAAGCCCGCACCGCAGCACGAAACACTCCGCAGTCCTGCACGGGTCCAGCTGCCCCACCCCTCGCATCCAGAGCTGCACTGTGGATGCCTCCTCTCTCCCGGGCGCACAGAAACAGCGCATCCTCCTGGGAAGCCCTCGGGAGTCATGCCCGCTGCTCTTAGCGGAACCTCCCCTGCCTGCGCGACCATCATTTCCACCACCGTCCGCTCACCCCACCCGCCTGCGCCCTCTCAGGTGAAGGCCCGGCAGATCTGGGGCGACACCATCTACACCTCCGACTCGGACCTGGTGGCGGTGCTGATGCACATGGGCTTCTACGCGCACTACCTCTCCCACCCGCCCAACACCGTGGCGGAGTTCCGAGCGCTGCTCAAGCTGCTGCCGCCGCAGGAGAAGTACAACTCGCGGGCGCGATTCGTCAAGTCGCGGCTGTGGTGCTCGCCGGGAGATGGCTGCTCATACCAGGTGCGGTGGTGTTTCCACTGCTGTAGAAACGTCCTGTCGCCTGGGGGACAGCGTTGCACAGCTTGGGAGTATGCAACGCCCTCGCAGCACGTCAGGCTTGCCGGCCTGCCACGAGATCCGGCACCCCACCTCACCTCCCCGTCCCCCCTCCTCTGCCCCTGCCCGCACCCGCACCCCGCCCCCGCAGGTGGAGCGGTGCTGGCTGACCACCCGCAGCGGCACCACCATCGACCTGCAGCCCTGTGTGGACGAGGTGCCGGCGCCCTACCCCACCGTGCAGCCCGCGGTGTCGGACCGCCAGATCACCACACGCACAACCGGAGCGAAGAGCAAGTGCGTGCGGTGGAGGGGGTTCTGGGGCGGGGCGTGCTGCCGGGGTGATCATGTGGGCGCAGCTGCCCTTCGCGCCGCACAGCAGCCAAACCACTGCTGTTCGCTGTTGAGGCGAGCGGAGATGGAAAACCGGACAACATGGCCCTCCCGTGCAGCAGCATGGCGGCAGCATGCTGAAAACACACAAACAAGAAGTCGCAATCCATGTACTGTCCTGCCTCGTTGATTATATCGGCTCCTGATTGTTTAAACTGCCCCGCCTGTTGTTTGGCCTGCCTCCCCCGCCGCTGCAGGGTGAGCCAGGAGGTGTCCATCCAGTTCAACCTGTGCAACGAGCCCTGGCTCAAGTACACGCTGTCAGCCATCGCGGACAAGGGCATGAAGCACGCGGGCTGGACCAGCGCCCGGCTGCGGAGCGAGGTGCTGTTCCTGGAGACCAACAGGTGGGGCAGCAGGGGGGCGGGGGGCGGGGCAGGGTGGGAAGGTAAGCGACACGTTGCGCATGGTTGCGGGTGTTCGGGTTTACCGTGTGTGTGGTAGCCCTGGTGTGCATATTCCACTGCCAGCCGTTGAAGCCTGTCGTTTTCCGTGTGCGCAGCAAACGGTACCAGCTCTGCTGTGTCTCTACAAGTGATGACCCGGCAAAGGGCAAGGTAAGCTGTGGCTGGGCTGGGTGGCGAGGGCCACCGGTGTCTGGGTTGCGGGGGATAGTCGCAAAACAAAACAGCTTCCCGGCGCTAGGCACTAGCACAAGCTTGCTACTTGCTGCACCCCTGCTTGGCAACTTCCAGCACCAGTTGCTACCGCGGCACGCTAGTCTCAACACTGCAGCTAGTCTCAACACTGCAGCTAGTCTCAGCACAACCCTGATGGCCGCCTGTGTTTCCCTAACAGGCGCCCGCCGCACTCCCGGCCCCACAGGACCTCTTCACGTTTGCCCGCTGCAAGGCGCCGCTGCCCATCAGCCTGCTGCAGAAGACCGGGGTGCCGCAGCCGGCGGAGCTGGTGGAGGTGGTGGAAAAGGACGTGGAGTGGGAGGAGTTCCAGGTGGGCAGGGGAGGGGAGGGGAGGGGGCGGGCAGGGCTAAGGGAAGGGGGAGGGGTCTTGCTGCTTGGGTTACAGGTACGTGCACGTTGGCGTGTTCATGAGTATATCCGGTAGAGGTGGCTGGATCTGGGTCAGGATTGGGTTGGCGAGGCCGATGCACCGGGGTTGCAGCCGCCTAGTACGTGTCCACCCGCGCCCGACCGGTGTCGCCCGTGTCGCTTGTATGCATGCATCAACACTCTGCGCCCCATGTGCCGCCCTGTCCGGTGCTGCCTCGCCTCCAGTGGGGCGTGTCTTCCCTGCACCTGCGCGGCAAGGAGTACCCGCTGCGGCGGATGCACTTCATGCCCAACACGCGGGGAGGCGACATGGAGTTGTGAGGACAGCTGCTACCACCACTGCTGCTGCGGCGGCAAATGGGTTGCGGATCGTACTAGGTCAGAGGAGCGGCTGCTTTGAGAAGCATACCGCCGGGCGGGCGGCCGGGGGGCTAACGACCTGGCGCGGCTCTGCGGTATTTACCAACGCAATAGCGGCATCGTGAGGCGAGCCGCAGTGTAGCCGTACTGCACTGGGACATCGGCATCGTGTGCATATTGGCGCCGGCTGCAACATAGCAGCACTGTGCAGCTTAACAAGGCTTAGGTTTGTTCGTACCCGGGAACCGGACAGCCCGCCACTTGTAGGCGTCAAGTTCTGTGATTTGGGGCGCAGTGGGTAGATCTCTAGGACCGTTGCGTTTGGATGCATCTGCTTGACGTACAGGCGTTCTCGGCTATGCCTTTCCTAGCGCCTAAGTTGAGATGGGTAGGGGTTAGTCTACTGGATTGGACTGGACCGACCAGGGACTGGACCGACCAGGGGATGCAGGGGTAATTACTACCATTCCGAACGGACGTGTGAGCGGGCCTTCATTGTGGGGCATTATGACGGTTGCTAGGGTCCAACCGAAACAAGGGCGCACTACTTTCAAGGAGCGCCCAAACGCGCGGGAGGAGCATTCGCTGTAACAATGCCTTCCGCGTCCTGTGTATACGAGTATGGAAGGTGTTGTATGGCCAGCTACAATTCCCTCCTATGTTCATTGTTTACCCAGAGCTACCCGAAGCCCATGGCAGTCGAGCCGTCCAATGCAACTATTCGTAGGACGTCCATGCTGGAATGTACTTGCGGCTGCTGTATGATTGGTCAAGAGGTGTAAACCTTACCTTCGGTTATGAGCACTTTAGTGGTTTACATGGGACACTCCATCATGCTATTGGACTGCATGCTATCCAAGCGCGCAAGCATGCTCAGCGGCTAAGCATGATAGCTATGAGCTATGGGTCAACCGTTCCCCTGGCACTAAGCGAAAAGCAGATAAGCGCCCTTCCTTAGTAGGCAAGGTTAGGTATCGATGATAACACATTCATGAAGGGCTAGAGCCTGACTACTATCAGTAACCCCTCAGGATGTGTCCGCACGTGGCCCACACCCACATACAAGCATATCCCTGCCACTATTAGGTATTAGAACTTTTCGGATAAAGCATAAACAGTTAACGCTTCTTGATTTGTGAATGGTATCTCTTGATGGGCCCTGCGGCCCATCTCCTCTCATCCTCTCGTACATTAAGCTTGCGCTCCAGAAAATTTAATGCGGGAAACTTTCACCAAAATTCATACCTGGAATCAGTGTATCAATTCCTAATTCACACACAAACATGAAGGCCACTCTGCGTGCTCCTGCCTCCCGCGCCGGCGCTGTGCGCCCGGTTGCCTCTCTGAAGGCCGCCGCTACTCGCGTCGCCTCCATCGCTGGTGTTTCCATTGCCTCTATGGCTGTTACTCTGGCTGCTCACGCCGGTGCGACCGTGAAGCTGGGCGCTGACTCTGGTGCTCTGGTCTTCGAGCCCTCGACCGTCACCATTAAGGCTGGCGATTCGATCACCTTCGTGAACAACGCCGGCTTCCCCCACAACGTTGTCTTCGATGAGGACGCTGTGCCGGTGAGCTTAAAGAGCAGCTAACAAACTAAACAACCAAAATCTGAGATCGCGGTTTGTCGGTTGGGCTGTTTCTTAACTTTCGCCCTCCAACCCCCTTGCAGGCCGGTGTGAACGCCGAGGCCATCTCCCGCGATGACCTCCTGAACGCCCCCGGCGAGAGCTTCACCGTGAAGCTGGACGCCGCTGGCGAGTACGGGTTCTACTGCGAGCCCCACCAGGGCGCTGGCATGGTCGGCAAGGTCATTGTCCAGTAAACTGCTTCGGACCTGCAACAATTTTGTGAGCGTTGTGAGCGTGTAACGTATGAAGGGGCCTGCCTCGATCACCAGCTGCCTTGCCTCCCGCATCTTGAGCAACGGTCAATGCATGAGCAGTTTCGGGCAGTTGCGTCAACAAGAGCACCTGTGAACAGCAGCAGCGTGTTTGGATTTTATCGCATCATGCTGTTTTGCTTAGTTAAAAGCAACCTGTTCGAGCAATTTTGCGGTACCAGGATCCCTGCAAGCATACGGTGAGTGAGCATTGCAAGCGAACATAAGCAACGACCAGCGGTCATATCTCACACAGCTCGCTAGTTACTTGGCTTGTGCGATTCCTATGCTTAGTGGCACATCCCCCAACTTGCAGCAGTCCCTAGTACCCAACGGCACTTGTGCACCCAGCAGCCTAACAACAATTGCAACCGCCTTCACTGTGAAACGAACTCTGTCTAAATGCATCCTCTCGGCCTAGCTTCCGCGGGAAACCGTTACTTCTGCGCGTGTAACGCTTTCCCGCCCCGGTTACAAGCTGCGCACACCCCAACTGCTTGCTCTTGTTTCCGCTCAACTACGCACCATGCACCTGCGCAGAAAGCAACAGCCGGCAGCCAGGCACGTCTGCTGGTAAGGATAGCCTTTGACAGCCTAGGAGGAACCCCGAATCACAGCACAGCCTCAGCGTTGGAGGATCTTATTTTAGGTAGAGTGCAAAAGCGTTCCATCGGTGCGGGCGTGTCACATTCAGGGAAGCGCTCGCGTTACAGAGCTCCGCTAGCAACCCCCCCCGCCTCGTAGCCACTCCCCCGTCACATCATCATGGCATCAACGAATGAAGACAACACGGAAAACGCTTTGCTTCTCACACCTCCTGCCAAACCAGTCAAACCTCGCGACACCCGCCCCACACGACAACCTCCGCAGGCCAGCTCAGCAGCTCCACACAGGGCACCATACCAACACCCGCAGGCTCCTAAAGCGGTAGCCCAGATAACACCAGCCACGCAACTGGTCCCCTGGTTCAATTACATTCCTCGTGTTACATGCGGGGGTCAGCCCCAGCAGCCTGATCCACGCGATGACTACCAACTGTCCTAGTCACCAGTCAGTCAAGCGCATCACTCGAAGATATGTTCCAGTTCAAAATCCGGATCCAGGATGTGCGGGCCGTACACCGACAGATCCAATCCGTCCAGAATCAGGTTCTCAAACGCCTGCGTGAGGCCCCGGGGTAGCGCAGAGACGTGGGGCGGTGGGGTTCGGCGGGTGGAGTACGACAACCGAGTGACGACACCGGGCCCTCGTGTCTCGCACAGCAACCCCCTTCCATACACATACCGTACACACCCTACCCGCACCTCCGCGTCCCCCGCCCCGTCCCCCCCTCCCCCGCTGCATTTCTGATTGCATCCCCCCCAGCTCACCTCCTCCAGCTCTGTGTTGCCAATCAGCACCGCGCCCTGCAACCACCCAGGGGCACCCGGCAGGCAGCACCGGAGGCAAGGTCGAGATGGAGGTTACGCAGGTAAGCCCATATCCGCCCCCAAGCAACGAGCCCCGGGGCACTGACCGGCTGCCGTACCGCACACGACAGGTTGTTGTGCTACCCTCGCTACGAACCAGGGTGACAATCAGACAGGAAGAGAGCGGTTCCCAGGCTGCAGTCCCCGCTTCCTATACCCCACATACCCCTCCCTTCACGCGCCCATAATCGCCGCTGTTGCCTGTTCCTCCTTTCCCTACCCCCTCGCCTCCCCACCTCCCCACCTGCATCCGCCCCCGCAGCAGCAGCACCCGCACGAACGTCTCCCCGCTGCCGTCCTCCGCCTCACACACCCGGCTGTACGACACCAGCTCCCCAGCCGGCTCGCCCTCCAACCGCTGGCCGTTGTACAGGCCCAGCAGCACCACCTGAGGGTGGGAAAGTAAAGATAAGTGCAAGGGAGACCCGATGGTGAGGGGTCTTGCCGGGAATGGAGTCCGCCGGGGTTCAGCGGAAGCCAGCTTTGACAAGGCCGCACGCCCGCCCCCCCCCGCTGCTCCCCACCTTGGCCCCCATGAAGCGGGTGACGTGGGTGAACAGCTCGAAGTTGAAGCCCGAGGCCAGCTCGTCAGCCAGCCCCAGCATGCAGTGGGCGGCGTAGCTGCCCATCACACGAGCCTGCAGGGGGGGACGGAGGGCGGGGGAGCGGCGGTGGGGTCGGGTGCGGAGATACCCCGGTGGAGAGGCGGGGGGCAGGGAATGGAGGGGGGCTGCATGGTCAAGCATGCAGCGCCAGACTTTAACAACCAGAAGCCCAGGTCCCTCCGCTCTACTCCTCATCCGCCTCCTCCTCCTCTCACCTGCGTCCACAGCCGCATTTGGAACCAGTGCGGCGCCGCGTCGGCCCACTCAATGGAGCAGCAGTCGCCCGCCGCGAAGACCCACGGGTCACTCGTGCGCATGTCGCGACCCACCGCCAGCCCCCCGTCCGCCCCTCGCCGCAGCTCCCCCGGCAGCCACTCCGTCGCCGGCTCCACCCCCACCGCACTCACCACCAGGTCAGTGCCGTACACCTGCCGTGCATGATTGCAGGAGGGAAGTACGGCAGGGGAGGCACTTGCATGCGAGTAGTCCGTCCCAACATGTATTAATCTGGACCACTTTCAGTGTCAGTGCTATCCCTGGTGCGCCCTGATGCATGCGGCCCCCAGTGGCCGCCCCCCCGACAGCCCCCAGCTCACCTTGCCGTTGGACAGCACCACGAAGGCGGGCCACCGCCCCGCACCGTCAGAACCGCCCTCACTGCCCGAAGCGCCCTCACGGCTGCCGCCGCCCGCAGCGGCGCTACCAAGCGCAGCACCCTCGCTGCTGCCTGCGGCACCGCTGCCCGCAGCACCAGCACCGGCACCGGTACATAGGCCGGCGGCGTTGCTACCCGGACCGGCAGCAGCGGCAGCCCCCTCGCCCCCTGCTGCCGGCCCCCCACCCGCTCCGCCCCCTCCATCCGCGATGTGCGCCACCGTGGCTGAGAACTCCCACACCACTCGGAAGCCCCCACCCCCGCTGCCGCCTCCACCCCCACCTGCACCCGCTGCGCCACCCCCGTCCACCGCTGCAGCCGCTCCCTCCGCCGCTGCGCAACCGCCGCCGGCAGCGTCCCCGCCCCCCGCCTCCTCCTCCTGCTCCCCCTGCTCCCCCTCCTGCCCCTTCCCCTCCCCCCGCCTCAGCCCGCGCACCAGCTGCTGGGTCCAGGTGGGACCCGCAGCGTGACCCACCACCGGGGCGGCAGCGGGGGCAGGGGCAGGGGCAGCCCCCTGTACGGGCCGTTGCTGCTGCTGCGGTTGCTGTTGTGCAGCTGGCGATGGCGGCGGTGGTGCGGGGGCCAGCTCCCGCTGCTGCTGCTGCTGGCCGCCCAGCTGCCCCTCTCCCTCCCCTCCCTGCGGCCCTCCCTGCCCCTGCAGCCCCCCCTCCCCCGGCCCCGCCCCCCCCGTCAGCCGGCCCAGCAGGAACCTCGCCGCGTCCACATCGAAGAACGCGTCCCCGATGTGTCCGTGCTTGAGCGCCCACACCAGCTCCGGACAGCCGCCGCCCCCACTGCTCCCACCTCCTCCTCCCCCACCTCCTCCTCCTCCTCCGCCCCCCATCTGCTGCAGCTGCTGCCCCAGCGCCCCCACCAGCTCCAGTGCGATGCCCCCATTGCCCGCCACCACCAGCCGCCGACAGCCCCGCAGCCGCCGGATGAGCTCCTGGAGGGGGTGGGTGGGAGATGGATGGGGAGGAGCGGAGGAGGCGTGGGTGAAGATGGCGTGAGAAGGGAAGGGAGTGCGGTTGTGCTGCCAACTCCACACCCCCTGGACGGCGGTGCCAAGGCCTCTGTAACACCCTACCACCCACCAACCCTCCTCCCCCACATTACCACTATCATACTGCAGCTTGGAATTTCTTCTCCCCCCCCCAAACACCTGCACGCTGTCCGTGTCCCTCACTGTCAGCACGCAGGGGTGATCGGCACCGGGAACCGCCAGGGACTGCGGGAGGTGGGGAGGTGGGGAGGTTGGGGAGAGGGGAAACATTAAATATGTGAAACAACGAGTCCCAATCCCATATCCCGACTCATGCAGTGAGCGCATTCGGAGACACTATTCTAGAGCGGGGTGTAGCGGGTTAAGGTTGCCGCAGAATGGGGACTGGAGGCTCGGAAAGAGGAGCCTGGTCTCCCCCTACCATGAGCGACATCTTCAAACCCGTTGTTAATCTCATTCACGCCCACCCTCCTCATCCCTCCACCTCACACGGTCAGTTCGATGTTTCCTCTTTACCTCCCCCCTCCTGCCCCCCACCTTGGGCCTAGCTCCCGTACAAATGCACAGTTTGTCGTACGGCAGGGCCCCCCCACCGCGCAGCTGCAGCACCTGGGGGGCAGGGGGGCAGGGGGGAGTGCAGGAGGGGTGGGGGTTGGGACTTGTCAGTGAGCACGGGGGGTACAGAGGAAGAAACTAACGGTGGGGTGGGGGAGGGGCGGGAGGGAAAGGCAACCGTCGCAACGAGAGGGAGCATAAAGTGGCTGGAGCAAGGTGGGGTTGTCGTACATCCTGGGGGCAGGCGTAGGAGCCGCTCATTCCTGCCCTCCCTTACCCCCCCGCCCCCCCGCCCACCTTGCCCCTCAGGTCCAGTCCGGTGACCTCCGCCTGAACCACTCGCAGCAGGCCCCCGCCCCCGCCTCCGGTGCTGCCTCCTTCGCTGCCTGCTCCTCCGCTGCCTGCTTCTCCTCTGCCGCCTCCTCCACCCGCCTCACCCTCCGCCTCCGCCTGCCCCCCCGGCCCCGTGCTGGCAATCAGGGAGGCCAGCGGCACCTCCACCACCTGCGGCAGGAAGGCAGGGAGGGAAGGAGAGGGTAGCGGATGAAGAGAAGTCTGGAGGGGCGGGCCAAGGCGCACTCGGTAGAGGAGCTGCAGCGCCTACAGCAGCGGTCCCTGCATCACGGCCCCTCAACCCCACCCACTCTGTATTTCTTTCACCCCACGCCCCTCCTTCCCCCTCCACTCTCTCCCTCCCCGCTCCCCCACCCTCACCTCCAGCTCCTGCACCAGCCGGCTCAGCCTCGCCACCTCCCGCACCTGCTTCACCACCGCGCTGCCGCTCACCAACACCACGTGAGCAGACCCAGCAGCCGCCAGGGGCCCTCCGGCCACCAGCCCTGCCTGCCCGCCCGCCTGTCCGCTGCTACTGCCAGCTGCGGCACCATTACCGCCGCTGCTGCCCTCCTCAGCTGACGGCTGCTGCTGGGGCCGCTGCTGGGGCTCCAGGCAGCGCACCAGCTCCAGCGCGCAGCATACGCCCGCGATGCCGCCGCCCAGCACGATGTAGCGCATGGGCGCGGGGAGAGCAGAGAATGGGGTTGGTAAGAGGAAGGAATGTGGGCAATGGATGGGAGCGGACGGGAGCAACAGGCGCGCTGTTGGGTTGCTCGCGTCGCTGATATGTTTCCAGAATGCTTTAATTACGGTGTGGCATATGTTTCGGGTTGCGTGGGTGGCGTCTTAGGCGCTTAGGGGCTGCTGCTGTACCCAATCGTTGATGACGAATCGGCTGATCACCTTCGACTACGCAAAATGGGCTTCTACTGCCTGCTTAACAAACTAATGGAATAAGTAATGAAGTGTTAAGTAGCAGAAAGGCTGCTTTGTGCGTTATTGTACCCAAGGACCCGGCGCACCGGGATACCGCTTCGTGCGCCGGGGGAGCTGGACAAGACGGCATTAGTCAAACCATTGAATACTACGTATTATTAGTTCCTACTAAGTCGTTTGAGCAGGTGACAGGGCCGATCTTGCTGCCAAGATGGCTTCGGACGCAACGCCGCTGGAGCAGGCGTTCGACAAACTTAATACATGCATTAAGAATCAGCAGCACAAAAAGGCGCTGAAGGCCTGCGATGAAAGTAAGAGCGTGACCCTTCGGTACCATTTCCTATCTTCAATCGGCGGCTGTTTGGGCGTGGAATTGGACTCCTAACTGCATCAAGCGTGCCTGATCTATACCGGCGTGCTAAGCATGCGTCATCGACCATCTAACGGCCAAACAAATCTGCGTTTGCAGTCCTGGCGCTTGCACCGGGCGATGAGGATGCGCTGCGCTGCAAGGTGGTGGCACACATGCAGCTGTCGGAGTATAAGGAGGCGCTGGTGCTGATAAACAAGCCGCCGCTGGCTGGCTTGGATCTGGGGTTCGAAAAGGTGGGTGTAGCCCGCAGCCTACTCGCTACCTTTCTGCCCTCACCCCTGCCTCACGCGCTTCCCCTCCTCCCTCCCCCTTTCCCCCCCTCCCCCCTGCAACCACAGGCGTACTGCTTGTACCGGCTGGGTCAGATCGATGAGGTGGGGGCTGGGGGTGGGGGCGTGCCGGGGGGCTGATAAGAGCTGTGCTGGCTGGCAGCTGGAGCCGGGCTGGAGTCCTGGCGGGTTGGCAGCAGGCAGCAGCAGTTGGAGGGGGGACGAAGGAGGCAGGCTCCTTGCCTCTACCCTGTCCCACACCCTCTACTCAGCCCCTCCCATCAGCCTCCTCAACCATCCAACCCCGCTTAACCTCCCTCTTCCCTCCCCTCCCCCAGGCCCTCTCCGTGGTCTCCTCCCAGCTGCGCTCCCCCCAGCTGGCCCCCGAGGCCGCCCCGCCGCTGCTGCAGCTGCAGGCCCAGCTGCAGTACCGCCGCGGCCGCACCCGCGACTGCATCAACACCTACGACACGCTCTTCCAGCAACACAAGGTGCGTGCATGTGTTGTAACACAAGGTGGATTTGTAAGTGGAAATATAAGTATGGCTACTACCTCTCAACACATCAACCATGACCGACAGGTCCCTAGGCATTCGACGAACCCCACATTCTCCTAGGGTATCTTCCTAGACGTTCATCGCAGCGCCACCGGCGCCCGAGCCTCCCGGCTTGCCTACACCAGGCCCCGATCCTCCCGGGCCCCCACTGTGCACCGTCCACAGTGGGCAGTCATCAGACCAATGCTGATCGCTGTTGCACCTACTTCAGCAGCACTGGTCACGGCGCCTCAAGCAAGTGCCTCAGCTGCTGAAGTAGGTGCAACAGCGATCAGCATTGGTCTGATGACTGCCCACTGTGGACGGTGCACAGTGGGGGCCCGGGAGGATCGGGGCCTGGTGTAGGCAAGCCGGGAGGCTCGGGCGCCGGTGGCGCTGCGATGAACGTCTAGGAAGATACCCTAGGAGAATGTGGGGTTCGTCGAATGCCTAGGGACCTGTCGGTCATGGTTGATGTGTTGAGAGGTAGTAGCCATACTTATATTTCCACTTACAAATCCACCTTGTGTTACAACAGCATGCGTGTGTGTATTGGGGGGGTGGGTGGGGTTGCGGGGAGGCGGATGCTGGGAAGGGGCGTGCCAGGGTGTGGGGTTATAACCAGTAAGCCCAAAGCACTAAACGCAGGATCCCCAGCCGCCTCGCCCACCTCCGTTCTCTCCTTACCTCCTCCGCCTCCCCCGCCCCCCGCCTCCCCTGCCTCAGGCCGACTCCCTGGAGCTCAAGACCAACGTGTGCGCCGCCTACGTGGCTGCGGGGCTGTGCGGCGAGCTGCCCGACCTGCTGTCGGCGCTGCGGCTGGGCGGGCGGGAGAGCTTCGAGCTGGCCTTCAACGTGGCGTGCGGGCGGGTGGAGGCAGGGGGGGCGGCGGGGGGGCAGCTGGGGGCGGCGGAGGGGGAACTGCGCATGGCGATAAAGCTGGGTAAGGAGGTGGGGGGGGAGGGAGGGAGGCTGTTGGAAGATGGCTAGCTGAGAGTAGGGCTGGGAGCTGGTGGGGAGCAGGCGGTGTGAAGAGGGAGTTGGGGACTTGGGGCTTGGGCTGGGGATGTGTGTGCGCTTCTGGCTTCTCCGCTCGGTCCTCAGCGTGCTGGCCTCTCCATGCTGGCCGCCTGCAAGCCCCTCTTCTGCCCCCTCCTCCCCTCACCTCTCCCCCCACCCCCCAGGTCGTGAGACGCTGTTTGAGGAGGAGCTGGAGGAGGAGGAGGTGGGGCAGGTGCTGGCGCCGCTCACCGCGCAGCTGGCGTACGTGCTGGGCAGGAGCGGGCGGGCGGCGGAGGCGGGGGAGCTGTACGACAGCCTGCTCAAGGGGTGAGGAGGGACGGGGGGGGGGGGGAGGGGGCACGGCGCTCGGCAGGCGGCCCACCACAGGGGATGGTGGGCGGGATGGGCCGGGTGGGCCCTCCTCCTCACCTGCTAAGGCTGCCACTCAGGGATCCTTGGCCGCACCGGTCTTCGCCCATATCCCATAAGCATCCTCCCTTACATCCTCTCGCCGCCCTCCCGCTCCTCCTCCCTCTCCCCCCTCCGCAGCTCCCAGCCCCTCAGCGACGAGGCCACTCGCGCCCTCGCCCTCAACAACTCCCTGGCTGACGCCCCGCAGCGTCTGGAGCCGGGACCGCATAACCGCAAACACATCAACTCCGCAACCAAGCGGTTGGAGGCGCTGATCGAGCGACCCGGGGGTCACTCGGCTGCTGCTGCTGCGGCGGCTGCTGCCTCGGATGCGGCGGGTTCGGAGGGCGGCATTGGTTCGCTAGCTGGGCTGCTGGCTAGGCACACGCCGGCGGGGAGCCTGCCTCGCCTGGTGGAGGGGCTGGAGAGCCGGCTGGGGGCGGCGCAGAAGATGCAGCTGATGCTGAACCTGGGGCTGCTGTACCTGGTAGGGGGGGGGGGGCGGGGAGGAGGGAGGAGGGAGGGGGGAATGTGTGGGTGGCGCATGCAGCTGGCGGTTGTAGTCCCGGGAGCAGGCGTTCCCCACACCACCTGGGCACCCTCACGCAAGGCAGGTAACGACACACATGCCTTCTCCCCTCCTCCTCTTCTCCCCTCAGCTGGGCGGTCGCTATGACGCGGCTCGCGAGCTGGCGGGGGTGCTGGGGGCGGCTCCCGGGGGGGCGGCTCCCGGGGGGGCGGCCGAGCCGGCGGTGGCGCTGCTGGCGGCGGCGGTGGCGCTGGCGCAGGGAAAGGTGAGGGAAGGAGAGGGACTAAAAGGTTACAAGAAGTGCAGGAACGCCAACCCAAGCCCATGGCCCGAGAGAGGGGAAGGTTGGTTTGCCTAGCCACGTAGCCAGCATCCTTGGTCGTCTCTCACTCCCGGCTCTCCTCCCTCCTCCTCTCCAACCCCTCCCTCCCACCCCCAGACGGTGGACGCCGACCGCACGCTGGAGTCCTTCATCTCCCGCTGCGGCTCCCCCGCCCCCGCCTCCCCGCCCGCAGCAGCCGCCCTGGCGCCCACCCTCATGCGCGCACAAGCGGCTCTGGAGGCGGGCAACACGGGGGCGGCAGCGGCGCTGCTGGCCAGCCTGGCAGAGCGAGAGGCGGCACTGGACGCAGCAGCTGCTGCTGGGGGTGGTGCTGCGGGTGGTGCTGGGGGTGCGGAGGGAGGTGCCGGTACGGCAGCAGGGAAGGGTGATGACGAGGCGTCAGCGCTGTTGCGTCGGGTGGTGTGGAGCGGGGCGCTGGTGGCTACCCGGCTGGCATTGTACGAGCAGCTGCAGGACGCGGCGGGGGCGGAGGCGCTGCTGGAGGGGGCGGTACGACACTGGGCGGAGCGGGCGAGCAGCAACCGGGGGGGCAAGGGGGGGCGGAAGGCAGGTGGCGGCAAGGCGGAGGGAGGCGAGGAGGCGGGTGCGGAGGGGGCGGAGGCGGCGCTGGCGTGGTGTCTGGCGGCTGCTGTGGGGTTGAAGCTGCGGCTGGGGAAGCTGGAGGAGGCCAAGAAGGCCTTCCAGCAGCTGCGTGCCTGCCCCGCCGCCGCCGCCACCTCCACCGGGGCCGCTGCGCTGGTACGACTGGCTCGTTGTACGGCGCTGGCGGACCCGGCTGCGGCCCCCGCGCTGGTGGCGTCGCTGGCGCCGCCGCCGGCTGCCGCCGCACTGTCCGGGCTGCAGGACCTGGATGTGTTGGAGGAGGTGGCGGCGCGGCCCGGGGGGGCGGCGGGAGGGGCGGGAGGGAAAGGAGGGCTGGGAGGGGCCAAGGGAGCGGGAGCGGGAGGGGAGGAGAAGGCGGCGGGAGCGGGGGCAGGAGGAGAGGAGAAGGCGGCGGCGAAGGCGGCTGGCGGGAAGCGTGGCGGCGAGGCGATGGATGTGGACCAGCAACCCAAGGTGCGGGTGGGGGTAGGGGGAAAGTGAGGACCGTGTTGTCTTTGCCCAAGGCGGGGATTAGATACTCTGAGCAAGGGAGATACTTGGGATGTGTACTGCAGCCGTGAGGAGCACACATGCCTGTTTGACGGTTCCTATCACCGCCCGGACCATGCGCTTTCGCTTCTTCCGGCTGCCGCCGCACCCCCTCACTCTCCTCGCCCCCTCTCCTCGCGCCCCCTCCCCCCCTTTTGCCTCACCCCAGGTTAAGAAGAGCCGCAAGAAGCGCAAGCCGCGCCTGCCTGCCGGCTTCAACCCCGCGCTGCCCAACGGCGGCCTGCCGCTGCCCGACCCGGAGCGCTGGCTGCCCAAGTGGGAGAGAGCGGACTACAAGAAGAAGCGCGACCGGCGGAAGCGCGACAAGGACGCGGTGAAGGGCAGCCAGGGGGCGGGCAAGGTGGACGAGAGCCTGGACAGGACACGTGCGCCCGCGGCCGGGGCGGGTGCAGGGGCGGAGGCCAAGACGCAGTCGGCAAAGCCCAACCTGCCGCCGCAGAAGAAGGGCAAGGGCAAGAAGTGAGCCGAGGGAGGCGGGGGCGGGGCGGGGTGTACGTAAGGGGGCTGTGCTGCAGCTGCAGTTGGCGGGTAGGCAGAGTCTGAAGGCAAGAAGCGGCAAGGGAGGGAGGAGAGGGGTCGTTGGCTGTGTGTATTGGCTTTAGCGGGCGGGGGCGGGGGAGTGGTAGTGTGGGGGTGTCAGTGGCTGGTTAGGGAGCTTAGGGGCTTGGGACAGGGGTTGAGGATGCCGGGTTGGTCGTGTGCTGTAACGGGGAGAGTCCTAAACCGGAGGGGCTGCAGGGGCTTTGGGGTCCCTATGGGGGCGCCTTGGAGGAGAGCTAGGAGGGCTGCTTGGAAGGGCAGCGGGGTGACAGCGGATGTTGGGGAGGGTGATAGGGAGGAGGGGGAGGAGAGTTGCGCATGTTGGTGTGCGAGGGGAGAACCGCCGTCCCGGGGGGAGTGAGGCAGGTAGGGAGGAGGTGCGCATGAGCAGATTGAGCACCCAGCCGCTGTTGTAACACGTAATTGTTTCAATTTTTGGCCCAATGGAAGAGCCGATGGGAGGCGATGGCAGCAGGGAAGCAATGGTCAGCAGCTACAGCTACAGTCGCACACTGATGAAAACGTCATGTAGTACCATTTGGTCAGCGAGAGATGCCTCAAGATTCTATTAAGGGCTAGCCTGCTATCTACAGAGATGCAAACCCATGTTTAGGGGTACTACACAATCAGGCACAGCCCCACCGAACGCAGGAAACCTCGGATGCCGCTACGTTGCCACGCCATGTGCGGAAACCGGTTGAGAATCCATTGTCGCATGCTCGCATTCTGATAAAAGAGCCAAGTCGCCAAACACTGTGCATGCATGTCAACCACCACCACCACACCATCAGCAACATCAACGCAATAGCATGCGGAGGCGGATGCCGGATAGCGGCCTGCTGCCTAGCAGCCTGCTGCCTAGCTCCGCATTTGGGGCACGTATCCGACCGTGCGAGCGGCACCTGAGCCCGCCGTCACACCTACAGACTCCTTAGACATATAGTATCATGTGGCCAAGCGTGGGGCTCGATTGGTTGCGCCGTGCGAGTGTGGTTGGGCAGGATGTGCCGTTCAGACCGGGTGCATGGTTGGGGGCCTAGTCAAACCCAGGGTTTGGGGCACGTATCCGACCGTGCGAGCGGCACCTGAGCCCGCCGTCACACCTACAGACTCCTTAGACATATAGTATCATGTGGCCAAGCGTGGGGCTCGATTGGTTGCGCCGTGCGAGTGTGGTTGGGCATGCATGTAGGTTTCCCACATGTCTTGGGCCCGCGGGACCCTGGCCCTCATTACCGGTATCATTCTTAACACCTCAAAACCAGGCAATCGGACCCCTATACATCCTGTTTGTTCTAGATGAATGCGAGTCAACAGGCGGGCAGCGCTCAAGCAAGGCATTCAAATGGATGCCGTCGCTCGCGCGCCTTGTAGCCCATAAAGCATGCAGGTTAAGCCATACAAACTGCACATTATCTTCTAAGATTTAGTATGACAATAACCTAGCATCTCTGCTGTAAAGATAGTGCCAGGAATTCGACCACCAAACATTGACCTTCGATTCATTCCCTGCCTTCACGAGAGGTAGTATCCCAATATTTCTGGGATTGCGCAATTGGTAAAGCTTGGGCATCTTTACGCACAATCCTTTATAAGGGCTAAAGTATGATCCCAGCATCCCACCTCAACTAGCTCTGAGCTATGACAAATTACCGGGAGACTTTGGGGTTTGCTGCGGGAGATCATTGTGCCGTTATCAAAGTTACAAACTGCGGCTTCGTTTTATGAAAGCCAGGCAGAGCCTGGCAAATGGGCTGGCTGCGCGGGACCATTGCGCGCAACCAGCCCATGTGTACTTTGTAACCGTTTCTTACATTTCCCAATGTCCCATTATACGCTACAAAAAGAAGACACCATATTATGCCCAAACATATGCTCTGCGATGTAAAACGAGGCGAATTTGTAAGCCAGGAAAATGGGCGTGTCGCGCGGGACCGTTGCGCGCAACCAACCCATACATGGTCGGCAACCTTTTCCAACATCTTCTGTGACGCCGGTGGACTCTACGAATAGATAATACAGCGCTATTTTCATAAATGCATACTGCGTTTTGAAACGAGGCAGGTTTGTGAGGCCAGGAACATGGGCGTGTTGCGCGGGACCGTTGCGCGCAACCTGCCCATTTTCAGCGTAATCTCCATTGCGCGCAATGCGCCCAAGTTCATGGCGGGTGCCTTACTGGAAGCATGGGTGCCTTCCTTCCTTCCTTCCCTGCCAACAATGTGCTTTCTGCCTCCCTAGTGCCTGTGGGTATGTGGACCCCCTGCACCAGCGTTCAATTGCGCTCAATTGCTTAGTACGTGAATGAGTGTGCTAATCTACCCTCCACTTTCCTCTTAACCCCTCTCCAGCAAGCCGTTCTGAACGACCCTCCCACGCGCGCCACCACACCCCCTTCTAAACCTAACCCCGCTCCTCCTCCTCCTTCCCCATCCCTTTCACACTCCCCTTATCCCTCAGTCAGTTAGTTGTTTCCTCTTTACCTCCTCCCTTACCGTCCCCTTCCCTCCCTCCCTCTCCCTCTCCTGCAGCTGCCCCTCCCTCGCCTCTTCCCCCTCCCCTTCCCCTTCCCCCGCCCCCGCCCCCGCCCCCCTGCAGCTGAGCACCACCCTCCGCGGCCACTCCTCCCGCCGCATCCTCTCCGCCAGCCGCCGGTACGGCTCCTCGCGCTGCGCCCGTGTGAGTGCAGCCGCCCCTGACGTGCTGCTGCACACCCACACCTCACAGCGGGGGGCGGGAGGCAGCGGCCAGCCGGGGGGCAGGGAGGACTGGGGTCCCCACTGGGGGTAGGGGGAGGGAGAGAGGGCAGGAGAGGGAGGGGGCAGGAGGGAGGGGGATGGTGGGGGGGAGGAGAGGGAGCATGATGGGGTAAGGGACTTGTCGAGTGCAGGCGGCAGTAGCTGCAGGGCAGGGTGTGAGACCGGCAAGGGGGGAGGGAGGCGGGAAGGCTGGGGGGGACGCGAGTGGGGTGCTCCCTCGGAACACCAGCCACCTGCTCTCCACCGCAGCGCCCACCTCGCACCCACCCACCTCCACCCCCACTCCCCACCCACCTCCACCGTCTTAACCCGCTGCTGGCCCCGCTTCCCGCCGCCGCTGCTGCCGCCCCCGCCCCCCGCCGCTGCATTCATGAGTTCCAGGTACTGCCGCTTGCCGCTGAAGGCCACCAACAGGGGGCACCCGCAGCGGCCGCAGCGGCAGCCTGGGGGGGAGGAAGGGAGGGCAGGTGGGGTAAAGAGGAAACAACTAACTGACTGAGGGATAAGGCGTCAACATGGGTTGCAACATGTCCCATATCCCGACACATGCCGGGGAGGGAAGGAGAGGTGAGCAGCCGCGCGCTCCAAACCCCGCACGGCCTCACCTATGTTGGCCGAGGCCCGCTGCATGTGGGCTCGCAGGCGGTCGTAGAAGGCGCCAATCCAGGACTGAACCACCTCGCTTGAGAAGGAGGAGCTGCAGTGCGGGAAAAAAGGCATTACGTGGCGGTGACGGAGCGGGGTGATGAGGGGGAGGTAGGGCACCGGGTGGGACGCTACCCCTACAAGCGCTACCCCGCCCCTCCGTTGGGTCGGTTTGAGCAGTCTCCACACACACCCCAGGTACAGGGTATTCCCCCGGTCCGCGCCTGCCGCTGCTGAAGCTGCGGCCGCCACCTGAATGAATGATGACCGTTACATCAATGGTTCCTTAAAAGAGAACACAGGTGAAGGACCACCCAACCCTAACACTGCAAGAGAAACGGAAACATCTGCTGCTGCTGCCCCCCCCTATGGTTTGGTATGGTCTTTGACCTCCCCCCCCCCACACACACACCTGTCGGTGCCCGGGTGGCCGCACCCCACATCCAGGAAGCCCACACCCGCAGCCGCCGGCAGCCCGCCATCGTCCTCCGCGCCGCGGGTGCCGGGCGGCGCTATGCCGGTGGCGATCAGGATGCGCCACATGTGGTTGGAGGGGTTGGAGTAGTAGTGCCCGGAGCGCCAGGCGTGCTCGGAGGGGTTGTGCCCCACGATCACCAGTCGCAGCGGCCAGTCACCCAGCTTCTCGGGGACTCCGCGAGGAGGCGGAAGGGGCGCTAGGGAGGAGGAGGAGGGGGAGGCGAAGGGCCTGGAGGAGGCAGCGGTGGCCGCCCTTTTACGGCCGACAGTGCTCTTGCCGCTCTTTGTGCGGCTTCGCGGCTGCGGTGTGGTGGGAGCAGCACCAGCACCAGCACCATCGCTGGCGCCACTGTGGTTGATCGGCTTGTCGCCGCCACTACCGCTGCCGTCGCTGTCTGGGTCACTGCTGGGCCGGCTGTTGTTGGTATTGCGGGTGGTGCCGGGTGCAGGGGGTGCGCTCGGGGTTGGGGGCAGTGAGGCGGGCAGTGGGGGGATGGGAGCGGCTGCAGCAGCGGAGGTGGGGCCGAGGCCTGCTGCGGTGGGGGTGGCAGTGCCGAGCAAGCCGGTGGGGGTTAATGCCGGTGTTTCTACAATGGAAACGGGTTCCTTCGCAGGGCCGGGATGTACAAGGGCAGCGGTAGAGCTGAGGCGTGCTCGCTTGGACGCCGGGAGGCTGAGCAGGTGGCCGCTGTTGCTGCTGCCGGGGCTGCTGCTATGGCCTATAACCGCAGCCCGGATGGCTGGCCGGTCTAGGGACGCTGCTGCTGCTGCTGCTGCTGTTGTTGACGACGAGGGCAGTTGTTGTGATGAGGGAGTGAGGAGAGGTGTGGTTGGTGGAGGAGCCGCGGCCGCCGTGCCAGTGCCCTGCTGCGTGACATCAGGGGCTGCGGCGGCGGGAGAGACGTGAGAGCTGTCCAGCGCCCCGCCTCCGCATGCTTGACTGCCTGCAGCCGCAGTTGATGCTGCGGCTACTGCTGCCGCCCTACTGCGGGTTAGGCGAGTAAAGGGCCCCTCAGCAGCAGCAGCAGCTGAGGAGTTCGCAGGTGCGAACTTGAACTTCTGCATGCAACAGCCAAAGCGCGAGACGGACATCGATATGTCCTTATCAAGTGATCCTACAAACCGTTGCAGCTATTGCTTGGATTGAATTATGTACACAAGCACTTAGCATACCTCGAAAGCGTTTGCCGTCTGGGCGTCAGAGGACATTGCCACATACCAGTAGCTTAATTGGGTAAATGAACCGCAGCGATGCGAACAAACGTTTTCCGTTATAGGCTATTGAATAGTAAGAATTAGCATTGCAAAAAGACCTCTCACAGCAGCACGTTGGCAGGGCGAAGCGCCGTACCGGAGGCGCGCGCTTAGTCAGGCCCTGGAACCCCCAAAGACAAGCATTAAAGCCATAATTGTTGCTTATCATCTGCATTGATTTAAAGATCCGGCGTCTTCCGTTGGCTCTTGGGCATAAAGGGGCAATAAGCTCATGCGCCGCGTCTTCCCCTCGGTTTGCGCTACGCTTTGGCCCGAAGTGCATGTACAGTCAACCAAAACCCGTGTTCTGGTCTTGCTCCTGATCTTCACGCGGTGTGCCCCCATAGCACTCTGGCACCTGGATTGGCAGCTTCTTAAGCCAACCTTGGCTCGTTGGTAAGTGGGTATGGGGTAGCCAGGCCCCATTTTGCTCCCCAACCACTGCTTCTAGTTGGGTGGCGGTGGCTACGATTGGCTCCCAGCAGCGGGGCAGCAGCAGTAGGGAGGGGCCACCGCAGGTACCGGAATAGCCCAACGAAGCAACATCCAACGCCAACAGCAGCAAAGCGGCAGTCCAGGCATCTGAAGTTCGTAACGGCACACGCTCAGAGAACGTTCAGTTGGCAACCTCAGCGTCTAGCATGCCCGAATGCGCTCCCTTGGCCACGGCTCCACTCGTCCCTACTTGACACCAGAGCACAACACCAATTGTGGCCGGGCAAGGGTGGATTACTGTCGCGGATATGTAGGAGAGACGCAGAAGACTTCAATCAGATGTGTGAGGTGCGGGTCTGGATAGGTGATATGGTGACGGGTGTACAGAAGGAGGGCCGGTTCGGAGGTATTGCTGCAATGCTGCCACTTCCACGGTTTGCCTGCTCAATGAAGATAGGATGGTGTCAATTCTGTATTAGCAGTCATTGCAAGGGTCTATATGCGAGAAATATTAAGCTCAAAGGCATTTCGTAGAAGTGCTGAGCAAAGTGCTAGGCAACTACCGCGATGTACGACAAACTCGTCTTGCAAGCTATGCATGGAGAGGCGCGCTAAGGCAAATGACTGCAGATGTTGCCTCTATTAAAGTAAGGCGAATGTCTTAACTAATTTGGCATTCATAGGAACCAATTTGTAACCCAGTGACTAAGCTCACGAAAGGTTGCAAGCCTTTCTTGGAAAACGCAACAGCCACGCTAATAGAAGCTGCTATCATATGATAATCAGGATATATACTGTGGCAAAGCGTTGGCAATCTAGGGTACTTCGGTATTCGTAAGGAAAAAAACGCGCCAGACGGTCACGAACATGAACTTCCGCCCGCCTCCGCAGAAGTCCATGATCCACCGAATTGCATAGCTGCTATATACTTATTTACTCGACCGTGTTTGCAATATTAATTAATAGTAACTCATTTGCTCACGCGTTGCTAGACCATACGCTCGTCCGGCTAAAGTCGCGAGCACCGGGAGCTCACTGGTCCATAGAAGTGGTGAGTCGCAGTGCATGGCGTTGTACCACCTGTCCTAATTGCATTGTTGCACTCTAGGCCCGGTGGGCGAAGCACATACCGTTCAGGCAAGTATTGCGGTTGGCGTAATTGCAAGCACACGCTTGCACATCTTTGTCGTCTTCAGTTAGATCAGTAGCCTGAGCTTTCGCTTTATACTTACCGAATGCTTCGCTGATTCTGGACTCAGTCTGGACTGTCTGGGAATGGCCGGCTCGGCACCAGGTGGCCACGCTCCTCTACAGTCATGCTTCCAGGAAAGTAACAAACTGATGTTGCGTTTATCACTGTCCTTTTAGGTTCCGCCTTCTGGCCTCCTGTCCCAGCGCCCACCAGCCAGTCAACCGCCATCAGCACGCAAGTATGAAGGATAAGCTGTTGACGCTTATCGCTGCTGCAGATGCTCTCGAGTCTAAGGAAAAGCATCATGGTCTTCGCTCAATCCGTCGTCGGAGCAGCTCACCTAGCGGGAATTCACATACAATTGCCAGCAGACGAAGTCTCGGCGACGCTTCCGACAACCCAGCGTACCTTGAAATCGTAAGCCAGATCACATCAACTATACCGAAACGGACGCCAGCAGCTGGCATTAACATTCCGACAGCCCATCAACATCTCCATCCTCAGCCTGCGCCTCCATCGCAAGTCTACGTCTTGCCATCGCTTGCGCCTCAGGACGTGCGTCAACAACAGTATGTCTCGCCCCCGCACGGCATCCTTACATCCCGGCGCAGCTCCATCAACGCCCTGGTCCTGGGTTCCGACAACAGCACCCCACCCACCAGCCCCGCCGTCGAGCCCCTCTTCAGCCGCTTCGCCCGCCAGAGCTGCGACAGCGCCCAGGCCTCCTCCTCCTCCACACCCCTACCTGCCGCACCCGCGCCCTTACCCGCACTTGCGGCTCCTGTGGCCGCACCGGGCTCCTCCCATCCGCCATCCGCACCCGCCCTGGAGCCGTACAGGACTTACAGCCCCCTGCCAACGCCGTACTACAACTCAACCACCATACCTCCCTTCATGGAGCGCATGGGCAACGCAGCCCTGCCATCCTCGGGGGCCAGTGCCAGGCGCAGAAGTGCCGGCGCGCTTCACTACCGGCACAACCCCTACCGTGCCAGCGGCGGCTTATCCGGTGTAGCGCAACATCACCACCCGCTGTACGACAAGCTGCACACAGTGCCGTACAACACGCCCCCGGCGCCGTACGTTTACCAGGAACAACTAGAGGTGGTCCCCGGTACCGCCTACTGCGGCTGCTCCGGGTGCCGCCTAGCAGCGCCCCAAAGCTGGCCTCCTGCGGCAACAACACCCAGCCCAAGCCCTCCCGCTGCCGCCACCGCCGCCGCCGCTGCCGTCGCCGCTGCTGCTGCTGTTGCTGCTGAGAAGAGCCCCTCGCGAGCTGTCACGCCGCTGCGTCGGCGCCCCGGAGCGCTACCCATTCCGCCCCTCTCATCGCCGCCCCCGCCACAGCACTCTCCATCCCGTGCTCCTGCTCCTGCTCCTGCTGCTCCTGCTGACATCGCCGGCTCAACTTCCGCGGACTTCACATGGGCTTGGGTCACCCGCCCTGCCGCCTCCCCGCAGCGCCTGCCCCACCCCGGCCCGCAGCCGCCCGCGCCGGTGGTGGAGGGGCGCGTGGTGGGCACCGGCGCCATGGCCCCGCACCACCCCTCCCCGCACCCGCCCCTGCCGCTGCCCCTGCTGCACCCGCCGACCGTCCCCGGCGACGACACCAGCTGCGGCGGTACGACACCGCCCAGGGACCATGCGACCATGGTGTACCGGCATGGGTGTGTGGCTGGCGCAGTACGCGGCCCCTACGCTCCCCTGTACATGGTTGGCAACAACGCCTCTTACGACTATGCCTGCTACACCGGGCCGGCGGATCGCTCGCTGGCTTTGTATGAGCAACCGCAACAACAGCTACAGCCGCGGTACCCGCAGCCACAGCCTTCGCAGCAGTTGGTTCCAGCGAGCGTGCCGTACGTCCAGGGCCGTCAGTCGTACATGGGGCCCCTGTCGTACGGTCCCGGCGGTCCGCAACACCCGCAACAGCAACAGCCGCTACCGTACAAGCCGCAACCCGTTCGTGAGGCCGTCAGTTGCGACCCGCAGGGCAACTACGGCCGCTACAGCCGCCTCTACCACCCCTACCGCCGCTACACCAGCGGCAACTACTTCGCCACCGCCACCATGCAGCCGGGTCCCACTCTGATGGCTGCCGCGGCCCCCTGCTGCCCTGCACGCCACCGCCGTGCCGGCAGCTGCCCCGAGTACCTCCGACCCCCCTCCGCTGGCCACCCCTCTGCCGCTGCTGCCGGAGGTGGCATTCCCCCCACCGCTGCTGCCTCATGGGAGGCCCAGCCTGCCGTCGTCTTCGCTGCGACCGCTGGAGGCTACGACGCATGCGGAGGTGCCGGCATGACGTCCGAAGCAACGGCAGCTGCGGCGAAGGCAGTACCGCTCGCACCTGCACCAGCCCCCGCAGTAGCAGCCGTGGGCTCCGTCGGCCCGCATACCTTCCGCGATGCCTTCCACAGGGCCTGCCAGGCAGCTGCGCAGCCCCGTACGATGTGCTGCCAGTGAAACACACGTGTGGGTGCCCGTGCACAGGTGGGGTTTGTCCGGCATGTACGACAGCACCGTTGCTTTAGGAGGGTGATGTTAACCTGTTGGGAGGCCCCTGACGAGCTGGTGAACATGCCGAAGAGAATGCCGTTGTGGTGGGGGCCGTTAGTACATACTGGGTGAAGGAGGTGGTGGGGGTTATGAAAACCTGGTTGGGTTGCACAACTGTGGGATTTGTTAGTGGGAGCGTACTTACCATCAGAACGCATCAGTCTAGACAGTGTGGTGATGGCTGCGAGTGCCACTTCTGCCGGCTGGAGCCTTTGCGGGAAGTGGGTGTCCTGGGGTGCGGGGTTACTATTCGACAGAGGTGTTTCACACTAGAGCATCATCGGAGCAATTGGACTCCGCATTGCCCTTACGCTCGGGTACCTTGGGCAGCTGACAAGCACTTGTTGAACAGGTGCATGGCGAATTGGTAATTGATGTACGGCAGGAGATGCCGCTGCAGGGCCGCTGGTTATTTTTGGATACTTGGTTGCCCAACTAGGCTGCAATCCAGTTTTGTGCATCGACTCGCCTCGTGTGCAACATGGTGTGGCATGGGGCTCCGAGGCCGTTCCCTTCTCCTGCTGTCGCGATTATAACTGGCAAATTGAGCGCGAAATGTGAGACGCAACTCAGCCTTTGCTACACGCCCGTGCCCTTATAAGTTATATACATACGCCTCGCGTCACGGCTTTTTGGTTGAGGTTACGAGCACGGTATATAACTTGTACGGCGGAGTATATGACAGTACTTGTTTGCGTAATCGGTACGTCCTTAGCTGTTTGCTTGTGGGTGGTCGATGAGTGTTGGGGCTGCAAATACCCGCAGGCAAGTAGGCACAGCCGGATGCTTGCCTTGAGACGCCTGTTGGGGCCCCTGTTGGTTACTGCTGCTGTTGTTGCTGGTGGGGTCTCGCATCTGTAGTTCTCCCATCCCTGCTGCTGCCAGAAGAGGTTCTTGTGATAAAGCAACTTAGCTGCATGAACTCACTAGTGCCGTTGCCTTGTCTTGTCTATACGTATAGATTGTGAACATGCACATGATTCTTATCTAGCAGCTTGATTGCGTGTTGGGATGCATGTGGATGTGACGTCTGGAGGCAGGTCACCGTTGGCCGTTAGCTGTTACCCTACTTCGTACGTTCCGTGCTTTGCTCCAAGGGTGCACCTGCATGGCCGTTCTGTACAGCTGGCGCCGCGAAGGCTACAGCGGTGGTGCCACGACTGAACCAGAATAAAGAGCCATTCAATGGCGATGCGGGCCGAGGTGGTGGTGCATGTGTTTGTGTGCGTGGCAGCAGTCGTGTATGCGTTTCTTATTGGCGTATCTCGTAGTATACCTAGCTTAAGCAAGCATCTTACCCTTGTCCTAATGTGGTTACCTGTGTCTACTTTACTAACAGACCGTTAGTGGTTTCCTTGTTCACATGTCGACCTGTTTAGTGCGCCTACAGCGCCGCATAGCACTCCTCTGTGAAGGCGGGATGGAGGCGGGCAGTACCGATTTGTCAGGTTGCTGCTTGCTGCAGTGGTATCGGTAACGCCGGTTGACGTGACACGCCTACGTTGAACGCATGCACGCATGTGACCTCGCTCGGCTCGACAGCCGGGGCGACCAACCCCAGCGAGCTGAGCCAAGCGATGTTGGGGAAGCTTGCGGCGCTTTACTTGTGCATGGGGATTAGCCGTCGGAGTAATTAACCGTATGCCCGTACCTTCCCTGTGAGCATGTGCTGTGCGATATTAGAGCGTGGGTGCGTTCATGTTGGTATCTACTTTAGGCGCCTGTTTAGCACACCTGGGGCGGTGCATTCACGCCCATGTGGTGGTTGTATTGGAGGTGCTGGTCAGCGCAGGCTGGGGTAGTTGGCTAGTTGGTCGGGCCAGGGGCCTAGCAGGCGCTACTGGGGTTCTTTCACGTTTAGCGATCTGCCGTAATATTCTCCTGTCACTTATACAATAGTACAGTCATTAATAAAGACGGCTGCAGGAGTTGTTGGTGCCTTGAGTACGGTGTCCACTGTCCAGTACAATCATGGCTATCGGTAGCTGTTCTCGTCCTCGTCCATAGCCAGCACCGCTCACTACGTATATGATGGCGCCCACGTGCTTTACATATCGGTATCTATCTAATTAAGATATGTGGGAAAAAACCGCACGAGTAAGACACCGTAAGACTGATCATGCTGTAAGTTACGAGTCCAACCCCTTCGTGTTGCCGACTTGGTTCCAAACACCCGCATGAACGCCCGCGTCATGCAATACGGTACATACACTCAGGCAGCTCCTCGGTCAACACTTAGGCGTAGTAAAGCTACGGCTCGGTTGACCAGGACCAACCCACATGCACAGCAGCTAAGCACAGCGGGCCTGAGCAGCAGCTGCTCTCGCGCAGCCTGCCACCCTGCCGCTCTTCCCTCCTGTCCATAAACCGCGCCGCTCTGACCCTGCCAGCGCCATCCTCGCTCGAGGGGAGGAATACGACTACCACCACGCCAACTGGCCGTCAGAAACACGCACCTCGTAGCCCAACGCTAGCTTTCCTCAGATCTGCGTCGCGCCTCCCAACCTCACACCCTGCATCCTTGCAACCCTAGACCCTTACTCCCCACCACCGCAACCCTCCCTTCCATGCCCCTCAAGTACCCCCCCCCTCACATGCCCCCCCTCCAAGCGACCGCCCTCCCCCACCCCTACTCCGCCCCTCGTTTACCACCCCACCCCACCCTACGCCGCCGCAATCAGCTTCTCCGCGGCCTGCTCCTGCGCCCCCAGCGCCAGCAGGCTGCGCCCCAGCGAGGCCGCCTGCTTCTCCCCCAGCAGCCCCTGCAACCGCCCCTCACCCGCCAGCGCCACCACCCGCTCCACGAGCGCCACCAGCCCCGCACCGCCCTGCACCCCGCCCGCAGTCGCCGCCGCCGCAGCATACGCCTTCATCAGCCCCTCCAACACACCCGGCGTCATCGCGCTCATCTGCGGCCCCACCGCCGCCGCCAGCACCGCCCCTGCATCCTTCCCACCGCGGGGCAGCCGAGCCAGGCTGCTGCCACCCGCCCCTGCAGCGCCCTCCTCGCCAGCCGCCGGCAGCAGCTGCACCGCCCTCCTCGCCAGCAGCTCCAGCAGCGGCCCCAGCGCCACCGCCCCCGCCCCTCCCGCACTGGGCGCCAGCACCTGCACCGCCTGCTTCACATGCAGCAGCTCCATGCGAGGAACCGCGGCACGCAGGTGCGCCTCCGCCGCCACCAGCAGCTCGGCCGGCAGCTGCGGCTGCTGCTGTTGGCCCGCCGCCAAGCCGTGCAGCCCCAGTAGGCTGCTCAGTATCCCGGTGAGTGGCCCGGGCGCCAGGGCAGGCAGGCAGCGCAGGGTGGCAGCCTGCAGCGCTGCCAGCAGTGCGGGGTCGGGGCCGCCGCCCGGCTGCTGCATGAGACCCAGCTGCGGCCCCAGGCGGCGCAGCAGATGCGCGGCGTCCGCCAGGCGGGCGGGCTGCAGGCGCTCCAGGGAGGCGGGGGAGGCCAGCAGCCGCAAAGCGTCGCGGGCTAGGGCCAGCTGGGGGGAGGCGGCGGCCGGAGCAGCCTCCGAGGAGGAGGTGGGGGTGGAGGTGGGGATGGGCAGCTGCTGGGTGTGTTGGAGCGCCTCAATGATTGCGGGCAGGGTGTTGGGGTCCAGGGAGGGCAGGCGGGGCAGCACCGCGGAGGAGACACGCGACCAGAACAGCGGGTTGGCGTAGCCCTGCGAGGGAGGGAGGAGACGGGGAGGACCGTTGGTGCCAAGAGGGCGCACGCATGCTAGCTGCATGACCAAGGGAACTACCGGTACGAAGGAACCACAGCCGTCCTCCTGCCCCTCCAGAGACACCCCCCTTTTCCAAACAAGGCTCCTTCTCACTTCACACCCAGTCGTCGTACCTGTCCGGAGAACCCGTAGCACAGGTCCCGCAGGTCCACGTCGGGCGCATACCGCAGCGCCGCGCCCCCGTCCGCCACCACCCCCGCCGCCAGCCGCACCAGCAGCTCGGGCGGCAGGCGGTGGCTGACGCTGCTCATGCCGCGAACCACGTTGGCGACCTGGGGGAAGGAGGTGGGTGGGGACCGGGGTGTGCGGAGAGGGAGGGGGCGGGGTGAGGTCAGGGTAAGGGAGTGATGGAGGAGGAGGGTGAAGCGCATGGGGGCAGGGAAGGGAAGCAATGGTGAAGGAGGGGCGCGTGCCCAGACATCGTGTGCCCAGACCTTAGATTGCACCCAATCCTCAACCGCATGGACACACGCGCCGGCCCCACCCGCGCCCTCCCGCCCCTCGCTCCCGCCACCCACCTGTGTGAGCGCCAGGCGGTCCGCGAACGTCTCCACGTACTTCTGCAGCTCCGCCGCCACCCGCTGCACCTTAAGCGCATAGGGGGAGGCGCGCTCGTACCTGGGGGAGGGGGGGTATTTGGATCTGTGTTTACAGGTTGAGGGGCCGGGATCTGTGTTTACAGGTTGAGGGGCCGCAGTGGTGGGGTTTAAGTACGTAGGGGTGGTGGATCGGGGACAGTGATCTAGTCGATAAAGTAAGGCGCGCATCTGTAAGAGGTGCTAATGGTGATTGGGTGTGAAAGCGGTCGTCTTCTATGTTGTGCTGGCTGGTGGGGTGTGAAAGCCGTGTTGCCGCTTTACGCATCCGTTGCCCAGCACCCATCCAGCACATGCCAGTTCACACCGCGCGGGTTACAAAAGCACAGCTGTCGTGGTCGCATGCATGGAATGCGAACTACTTGTGCCTTGTCAACCTGTTGAAACATACCTGTGCAGGTGCTCAAGCTTCATCGATGCTGCACCTATGTTTGCTGGCCGGAGCCGCTTCCTGAACCGATACAATATGCCATCGAGCTCCAGAATGCTCTCAGCCGTATTGATCATCCGATTGATATGGCCACCGTGTGGAGTGCTCAGGTGCAAGGCAACATCGGGACGGGGGCTGGGGAACCCGGAGCCCACAAGGGACGCATAGCTCCGAGAAAAGGCTGAAGAGAGGACCTGTTGATAAAAATATGACTTGTGAATGCTTGCACACAAGCAGGATGCTTACTCGACAACAAATCATACCGGAGCCGCTCTCCCAAGCATCTCCGCCAACGCAACTCTGCGGCCATTAAGTATTGCCAGCACATTGAATTAAATAGGCCGAATATAGGTATCTCTGTACATAGCCGGCAGCCTGACCTGCCGCTGGTTGATGGGACGCTAGCCGCCTCCCGCGCAACCACACCTAGACTCATGCTTTCATGCAGTAAAACAATGTCTCGGGTGTTCAGTAAACTAGTTAATCCGCGTGTTGAGCCTAGGGAAGCGAAGACACCTCAGAAGCTTATCAAACGCCGCTTGCTAACGAGCTATTGGTTACTTAGCTAGGAAAGTTCGGATTGAAGTAACAGAGATTCAACATCGCATATGGCATGCGCATTATTCATGTATTGCCGTACGTTCCGTGTGGTCCTCGGGTCAATCATGCATACAGGGTGTTAACCTTGTTAAGCACGCTCCCCATTGCGTTGATTTCTCGTGCTGGCATGCGCCAGGCCTAAACCACAGTACATTACATCTCCCTTTAGGTCCTGCACAGTCTTGCTTGCCCCTAGAGCGCCACAAATTGTCACTCCATGCGAGCGCCGGTGCAAACCAACCGCGCTGACGGGCATCCAGGCATCTCGGGCTTGGGCGACCACGCCCCCGGCCTGTCAGTACCGACAGACAACCGCAGCAACCCACTGTGCCAGCTCATCCGCTCCTCCATCCGGTAACTCTCATCATCTAAAATGTTGCGGGGCTTGCCTCAGCCGGCATTGTCCTTCCCCATTGGCCAGCCCGCATCCCTCGGAGGCAGGCTCACAAGGGGGCGGCATGGGAGGCCTCCGTCCGCCTTGCCTTGCTGTGGCAAGAGGGCATTGGTGAGTGAGGACACCACTGCCACCCACGCAACCACACAGCCACACGGCTTGGGCGCCCCCACGCCGTGCATGCATGCACCCATGCGGTTCGGGATCGTACGATGGTAGACCACCCGAGCGGACGGACACCTGCCGTAGGCGTTCCTGCGGCTTACCTAACGCAGCGCCAGCTCCTCGTTATCAGTCTTCAAACGGTTGGAGTTGTGGTGCAGGTAGGGAAGCAGAGCCTGCCTGCTTTCTGCTGCGTGTGCATCATACTAGGGCACCTCTGGATTGGCTAAATTGGGCTCTGGTCATTACTCCTTACCTTGACAGCAGCGTAGATTGCCCTTGCGGCGTGCAGCGCGCTTCTGGCGGCTGACTTGGATGCCGCTGATGGAGGCGCGGACACGTTTGCGAGGGCGCTTTAGCAATCCAAACGTAAAAGTTCCCAGCGTTGTTCACGAGTCCTGTCCTTGCATTAGCGTGTCACGTACTATGTGCTATCACACCACACCGTTTGTTGCAGGCGAAGTTGACTAGCTGAGTATCCTTACAAGAGGCTTTATTCCGGTTTCCTCCCCTCAAACCAACACTTAAGTTTGTGGAATGCATGCGGCAAGCAAGTAAGCACGACATGCAAATAGGGCAAAAAGCGCGCTGCCGATGTCTGGGAGAATGGACAGTCATGCCCGCATTGGTAGGAGGCGGCGTTTTTACCTATCATCTTAGTTTCATGTGGGCGGCACTTTTCCTTCCATGGCCTTCTCACGTGCGCAGTCTGCGCACCTGCAAGCGCGATTGTTGCCCAGGGCTGGTCCAAGCCAATCGTGGCTGCTAGCTTCCCGACCCACGGGTCATTGCTCCAGGAGGAAACATGGGGAATGACAGCCGCAACGACCTGCGCCCTGGTGCCGCCTGAAGCCTTGAAAGAACACACTACCGCCGTTTAGTCTTTATGCAAACGAAAGGCTGTCTGTCCTTCAGGGCATTTTACCCCTCGACTCAGTCGCCGCCATTCTTGGCGGAATCGAACATCAGGCTCTGCAAAGCAGCAAGGAGCAAATCTTTTGAAGTGGTGAAGTTGTTAGTCTCTCCCAAGTTAAAAGTCACAACCCACGCTGACAGCTCCGGGGCAGTCATCCATCCTGGAGGCTAAGGGTAAATCACAGCCTGCAGGGAAAAACGCGCGGAAGTCACTGCGCGCCTCCTAGCAGCTCCTGACCTGCAATAACTGGATTACAGGTGTATCCTCCGGGGCAACGCTGCGCTCGCGGCCTGATTAGGGCGACCATGAATTTGGAGACTCGCCGCCAGCGCACAGACCCACGGGACTCTCCTCGCAATTCCGACGGACGGCCGCAGTCGCCTTCTAGCACCCACAATCGCCGCCGCAAAGCTGCAATGCCTGCAAAGCGCAGGAAGAAAGCACCGCCATTGGAGTCGGATTGCGCCGCTGCAGCAGCTGCCTGCTGTCCTGGGGAACCTCCAAAGCAGGGCGGCTCCTGCGATGTCAACACTGCCTCCGCAGCAGCAGCAAACAACACCGCTGCTGCTGGTTCTGAACATAAAGTCATTGCTGTTAGTAGCGTCCAACCCAAGTCGCGAGAGCGGCCGCCTGAGCCTCTGAAGCCGCCCAGCGACTTTGGAATGGCCACCAATTGCCTGGAGGAAGCCTCGCAGACGAGCAAACAGAAGGCAGTCCGGTGCGTGATTGAAGCACCGCTTGCTAGCACACATATAGCACAAAGTATGCCAGCCTTGCATTGAAAGTTTGTATCCTGACCTGCAGAGGAAACGGCATCAAAAAGACGACGACGAGCGGCTGCAACGACGACGCAACCGATGGCGGTGAGGAGGAAGGCGACCGCAAGGAGGGCAACGACCGCCCCGATGCCGCCACCCTTGGGTGCGTCGGTCAAGCGGTTGCCCCAGCAGCCCAACAGGCCGGTGATGATGATGGGTCCATGAAGGGGCAAGGTGGCCAGGAACAGCTCCAAGATCAACTTCAGATGCCCCCGCAGACGCCTGCAGCAGCACCATCACCACCACCGCCACCACCACCACCAGAGGCCGTGTGCACCCTTCCTCGCCTCCTGCCAACACCACCACCAGAGGCCGTGTGCACCCTTCCTCGCCTCCTGCCACCACCACCACCAGAGGCCGTGTGCACCCTTCCTCGCCTCCTGCCACCACCACCACCAGAGGCCGTGTGCACCCTTCCTCGCCTCCTGTCACCACCACCACCAGAGGCCGTGTGCACCCTTCCTCGCCTCCTGCCACCACCTCCACCAGAGGCCGTGTGCACCCCTCCTCGCCTCCTGCCACCACCACCAAACCCGCCACCACTGCAGCAGCAGTCCCGGCCCCAGTCGGAGCCGCAGCTGGCCGGTAAGCAGCAGCATGTTCAGCAGTCGCCTGAGGTGCAGCTGTGCTCTCCACCACCACCACCACCGCCACCGCGGCATCTATCACGACCACCATCACCAACAGAACAGTTGCAATCGCTGTCCACCCAGACGCCCCTAGAGCCCCAACACCGCCATCGTCGACGCCACCGCCACCGCCGCCACCGCCGCCACCGCGACCGCCACCGCCACCGGCACGGGCGTGAGCGGCAGCAAGAACAGCAGCAGCAGCAGCAACAGCACGAGGAGCCTCAGCAGGACGGCGGTAGCGGTGCCAGGCATGGTGGCAGCAGCAGCAGCGGCGGCTTCATCGTCCCCATCCAGCTAGCCAGCCTGCCGCAGCTGATGCCCACCGAGCCGCGGTTCGCTCCCGCTCGTGTCGCGCGCATCGCCGTCGAGGAGGGGCTGCTGAGTGAACCCATGAGAACGACGACCCATGGGTCGGTCAGCGCTGCTGCTGTACCGGGCTGCCAAGCTGAGTTTGTTGGCGCCGGCGCAGCTCCTGATGCCCAACAGGGCCGCCAGCTGCTGCATGAGCCAGCGGGAGCACCAGCCGAGGAAACAGCAGCCGGGGGCGACTGCGGCAGCTGCTGTGGCGGTGGCGGCTTGGCCATCCGACTCCGCCGCCATCCCGCCGCTGTGCTTGGCAGCCCGCTGCTAACTCAGATGCTAGACAAGGCGCAGGAGGCCGGCGTGCGGCTGAGACGGCCGCTACCCGCTTTTCCTCCTCCCACGGCGCCGCTAGCGCCGCATGCGGCCGCCGGGCAGCCTGTAACGCCTGCGGCAGGCGAATCGCGGCAGCCGTATCCTCAGCCTGCCGCTCAGCCACCGCCGACGGCAACAGCGCCGCCGACGGCGACTGGGCGAGCATCAGGGCCGGACGAAGAGGGCGAGGGTGATGCTGCCAGCTCCCGCTGCGTGCACGTCCCCGTGAACCTCATACCGGCACGCGGCATCCCCCTGCCGCTGGCTTTCGGCTACAGTGACAGCGATTCGGACGATGACAGCTGCAGGGAGGCTTCCGCCGCTTGCCTGGCAGCGCCGCCGCCGCCCTCGGCCCCAGCTTCCGACCCGGCTTATGATGCCGCCGGCGACGCCCCTGCCGCTGCTGGTCACGCTGCTACTGCGGGTCAGCAGTACGGCTATGGCTGGGGGCTCGGACTATCAGCGGCTCCGCAGGGAGTAGCAGCAGCAGCAACGGGCGCTTCGAATGCGGCTGCTGCTGCCGGGGTAGCAGGAACTCAGCTGCGGCTCGCGGGTCGCAAACGGAGGTCTGGCGGCCCTGCGGAAGGAGACGGGGCGGGCGGTGACGAGGGGGGCGAACGCAACGTGGCAGAGGCAGCCGGCGATGAAGAGGAAGGCTCTATTACGGTGGCTGAGCTACTGCTCGGTCTCTGCACTGCGGCTGATGCGACTTCATCACCGACTTGGCCGGCGGATGCAGCGGCGGCAGGTGCCCCAGATACCGCCCAAGACGGTCTACGACGTTCGCTGCGGCTGCGGCGGGGGGCTGCGCGGCTGTACGGCGGCTCGTCTCGGCGGTGGCGGGACATGCTGGTGGAGGTACCCGGCAGGAATGTCAGCTACGATGCCCTGCTGGCAGGCGCGGAGGCGGAGGCGGCTGCAACTGCCGACATGGGCGCAGACGGCATGCATGGAGCTCATGTTGAGGACGGAGGCGGAGGTGGTGTCTGCCAACATCGCTACGGGCTGCGTCGTCGTGGCGCCGCGGGGCCGGTTGCCGCGCTTGCCGGCAATGGAGAGCCCCATGCGTGCCCCCGGCTGACGGCGGAGGAGGGGCAGGCAGCCGACACGCTGCTGCTGCTGCTGGCGGACCCGGCGGTGGTGGGGGTGGGGGCGGAGGCGGGGTTGGGGTTAGGGGCGGGGGAGATAGCGGGGGACGAGAGGGACGCCGCGGGAATGGAAGAGGAAGGGGGAGATGCGGAGGAGGGAGAGGAGGATCAGGATGAATGGATGGATGAGGGTTGCATGGATGGGCATTTGGGCATGCATGCCCGCAGCGGTGCCGCGGATACCGCAGCCGCCGCTGGAGAGTCTGCAGTGGTGGCGGCGGCGGTAGGGCTCTCCAGGCACCGAGAGGC